ACGGTGACTTTGACTGTATGTAAGCATGTCCTTACTACAATTGTACTTTTTACCTAGACGACCAAGGTGCCTGGACATGGGTTACACATTGCAACTGTCCGTGGTCATGTGGGCTCCATTCTGAGAAAGCCATGCTATGCTGGACTTTCTCTGTGAAGAATGTGGTCAGTAGATATAGGGGTGTATTTTGCTGGTCCGAATGTTCCGAGTAGTAGGGAAAGTATAACCTTCCGCATTCATGGTGAAGTGTAAGAATGAGTTGCGGGTGCTGTCCACACCCAATGATACCCCAGTTACCGTAGAAAGGCAGTTGTAGTGTCAGCTGAGGTCGTCTAGAAGTCTGATCTGAAGAGCGCATATACTGATAGATATTAAAAAGCTCTAAGCTTCAGATTAAAGATAAGAGATACGCAGTCTCCGTTTGACCATTTATTTAGCACAATAGTCAGTGCAAAGATTTGGAGTTATTGACTTCTGTGCTGTGTACCCGTTCAGGAAAGTAACTTTGTAGAGGTTTATAACGATTTGCTATCACTACCAAAGGATCATTGTGAAAACAAAACCAACACTCTATAGTCTATATTGAAATGTATTACCTCCAGTAACGATGATTTAGTCTTTTAATGTTTCAGCTGCAGTTGTGATGTGCCACTTCCTATAATTAGCTGGTCCCTTATGTTTCAGCTCCAGTCGTGACGTACAACTTCCTATAATTAGTTGGTCTCTCACCTTTCAGCTCCAGTTGTGATGTGCCACTCCATATAATTAGTTGGTCTCTAATGGTTCAGCTCCAGTAGTGACGTACCACTTCATTGAATTAGTTGGTCTCAAATGTTTCAGCTCCAGTTGTGACGTACCACTTCCTATAATTAGTTGGTCTCTCACCTTTCAGCTCCAGTTGTGATGTGCCACTCCATATAATTTGTTGGTCTCTAATGTTTCAGCTCCAGTAGTGACGTACCACTTCATATCATTAGTTGGTCTCAAATGTTTCAGCTCCAGTTGTGACGTACCACTTCCTATAATTAGTTGGTCTCTCACCTTTCAGCTCCAGTTGTGATGTGCCACTCCATATAATTAGTTGGTCTCTAATGTTTCAGCTCCGGTTTTGACGTGCCACTTCATATAGTTAGTTGTTCTCATATGTTTCAGATCCAGTCGTGACGCGCCACTTTTTTACTAGCATGAGCTGTTTTTTTATGATTTATGACCAGTTGAGACGCATCGCTTATACGAAGCAGATTATTTTCCCAGACAGAATATTTATTTTCAATATCATGGTGTGACCACGGTGCTTTAACTCCATATAGTTTCTATTGTCACGGTGACTTTGACTGTATGTAAGCATGTCCTGCTACAATTGTACTTTTTACCTAGACAACCAAGGTGCCTGGACATGGGTTACACATTGCAACTGTCCGTGGTCATGTGGGCTCCATTCTGAGAAAGCCATGCTATGCTGGACTTTCTCTGTGAAGAATGTGGTCAGTAGATATAGGGGTGTATTTTGCTGGTCCGAATGTTCCGAGTAGTAGGGAAAGTATAACCTTCCGCATTAATGGTGAAGTGTAAGAATGAGTTGCGGGTGCTGTCCACACCCAATGATACCCCAGTTAACGTAGAAAGGCAGTTGCAGTGTCAGCTGAGGTCGTCTAGGAGTCTGATCTCTAGAGCGCATATACTGATAGATATTGAAAAGCTCTAAGCTTCAGAGTAAAAATAAGAGATACGCAGTCTCCGTTTTACCATTAATTTAGCACAATAGTCAGTGCAAAGATTTCGAGTTATTGACTTCTGTGTACCCGTTCAGGAAAGTAACTTTGTAGAGGTTTATAACGATTTGCTATCACTACCAAAGGATCATTGTGAAAACAAAATCAAGACTCCATAGTCTATATTGAAATGTATTACCTTCAGTAACGATGATTTAGTCTTTGAATGTTTCAGCTCCAGTTGTGACGTACCACTTCCTATAATTAGTTGGTCTCTAATGTTTCAGCTCCAGTTGTGACGCACCACTTGAACTTCATATAATCAGTTGTTCTCTAATGTTTCAGCTCCACTTCATATAATTAGTTGGTCTCTAATGTTTCAGCTGCAGTTGTGATGTGTCATTTCATATAATGAGTTGGTCTCTGATGTTTCAGCTGCAGTTGTGATGTGCCTCTTCACATAATGAGTTGGTCTCTCATGTTTCAGCTGCAGTTGTGATGTGCCTCTTCACATAATGAGTTGGTCTCTGATGTTTCAGCTGCAGTTGTGATGTGCCTCTTCATATAATGAGTTGGTCTCTAATGTTTCAGCTCCAGTTGTGACGTGCCTCTTCATATAATTAGTTGATCTCTAATGTTTCAGCTCCAGTTATGACGTGCCTCTTCACATAATGAGTTGGTCTCTCATGTTTCAGCTACAGTTGTGACGTGCCTCTTCATATAATGAGTTGATCTCTAATGTTTCAGCTGCAGTTGTGACGTACCACTTCCTATAATTAGTTGGTCTCTAATGTTTCAGCTCCAGTTGTGACGCACCACTTGAACTTCATATAATTAGTTGGTCTCTAATGTTTCAGCTCCAGTTGTGACGTGCCACTTCATATGACTTTGTCCCTGTTTCAGCTCCAGTGGTGACGCGTCACTTCATATGAGTTGGTCTCTAACGTATTAGCTCCATGACGTGAGGTGATCTCTAATCTTTGCGCTCTAGTTGTGACGCGCCACTTCATATAATGAGTTGGTCCCTTATGTTTGAGCTCCTGTTGTGATGCGCCTCTTCACATAAGTTGCTCTCTAATAAGGATGAAATTGCTATACATCCATGGCCTTATCATTCTGTACAGCCTTTATATTTAAGGGCGGTATTCTCTACAACATGGTACACTCAAGAAGTCAAAAGGGGTTGTTGGAGAGGGGTAGGGGAAGGCTCCTATATGCAGTGTGCCGGGAGCCACAAGAAAGTGCCAGTCGGCGTTAACCCAGGGGAGAGTTGGGTTACATAGACTGGCGGCAAGTCTCATATAGCTACAATACGGCTGAATGCGACGTTAAACAACAAACAAACAAACAAATGTTGATCATCAATAATCATTTGTCCCCATGTATTTGGTGTCGTTTGCTAGCCCGTCTAGCATAAGGGCCAGCGCAGAACCATTAACTGGGATGCCCATGTGTAAAAAGATTTAAAATTCCTCCAACATTTGATAGAATTGCCCCGTCGCATCCGTATCGCGCATTCATGCAAGGGGCTTTTGAATATCTGCTTTGGACTTCATTGCGTCGATCATTGTTTTGACATCCGAGCGAAATGAACGTTTTACTTGCTGTGGGGCCGAAAGTGAGTCTGATTTTCACAGAGGCCTGTTTTAGGAATATTATAACAGAGGATAACAAATGTAAATAGAAACATGATTCAAAGAAGTATTATTATGAATCATAGTATATTCGGCACATTTGATATTGCCTTGTATTACAAATGCTGATTAGTCAAAGTCCTGTCTCGACGGATTCCACTGTGCACGGTGATATTTTATGTGTGAAGGAAATATGTCCATAATAGCAGTAAGGCAGCCCAGTGTCTCAATCAAGTTTTGACACGTCACGCCGAAACGGCCGAGTTCGATTCCTTACATCTGGCTAATGTTTCGTATGAAGCCCGTTCCTACAGTCCTCCGCCGCAAAGCGTCTAACACCATACCCATGCATCTAGTGCACACACAGAACTCAAACTATTGGGTACATAATAACAAAGACATTTATTTGATAACAGAATAATAAACATATATAATATATCCACTGTAATTAAAAAGGTATTTTGGGTACACTTGCTTCAAGTAGCCACGGCACCAGCAAATATTAACACACTCGGGGTACTGTGACTCGCAATCAACCAAGCCACCGAGTCCGACCACCCAATCCAAGTAAGTCGCCTCTTTCTACAAGTGTCCAATTTTATCGACGTTAATTGTTGGTAATTGTTATCAATTAAAGGTTGCAATTGGTGAACCATTTCACCTTAACTACGGTTATCCCCTCGTTCTTGGTGCTGACAGTCAGGGATGAGCGAGAGGTACAATGTCAGTACCCGAGGGCCTTGGACCTTTTACCGTAGTTCCTCCAACAAGCACAAAGAGTCGTCTTCGTTTTTAACAGCTTTTATTCCCACTTTGTCTTGCCGGTCAACCCACTCTATTTGTCACACTTAAATACGAGACTTCGACCGCAAAGCTTCAGTCTCAGTCGAAATGCTGGTGCTTAAGTTTGGTTTCTGGTTCGAAAGATCGTGACAACAAGCCGAGAACGGAGCACCAGTCCAGATGTCGTCTCCCCAGCCGCTCTCTAGCCGCTCTCTCGATCTGGGGGCTTTTGCCCCTATTTAAACCGGTACCTACGTCACAGTTCTACTCATTTTTCCATGTATCATTGTCAACCACCTTTCCCCCCTACACTAGATCATTCTAACCCACTCTTGTCTAGCCTCAAGGTGCTTTTTAGGACTTGTGGTAATGTGACCACCTCAACCCCCGGAATCTGGACTATTCCCCCAAAAAAACATATATGAACCCGAGGGCAATTTCCTCTACGTTTCCTCTCCCTATCTATTTTGTCTCTGGCAACTTGCATATTCCCTTGCTATGTTACTTTAATTGATTTGCTCTAGTACTCCGACCCTCGACCTACTACTGTCACCCCTGGTTATTAGTGGCCCAGTATGTTTCCTATGCTCTTCAACTCCTACATCGCCTGCACTCAATATATCTTCCCATGTGTTATACCTATATCTTACTGTTTTAGCCCCTCATATTGCCTACTTATATAATTACTGTAGATATCTTAATGAGTTGCTAATTACCATTATTTCATGCCTATAATACGACCCCCGTTCTGACGAGGAGTGCGTCCCCACACTCTGAGATGGTGCCAATTCTTGTTATAATATCTGGTATACATTCCCTCTTATTTCTGTGACTTATTGATTTATCTTCCCTTTAATTATCTAAATATGTATTACACTTTCATGCCTAGAATACAAGCACAGGTTACTTGAGGCAACGCCTACTTCGGACTCCCCATAGGGTGACATCAATATTGAACACCATTGAAACATTTATGTTTGTTTTTCAACGCCGCACTCAGCAATATTCCAGCTTAATGACCAGAGGGCTGTAAATAATCGAGTCTGCACCAGACAATTCTGTGATTGACATCGTGAGCATCGATCACGCAAATGGGATACGATGACATGTATCCCGTTAGTCGCCTGTCTACAAGTATGTTTGCTGAAGACCAGTACTAAAATTATATGAATGGATCACTGGAAAACAACAGAGATAAACATGCCATTGTAAAAGTTCAAATATACTACTACTCGTTTGTAGATGCCAAACAAGAACTTTTAGTTTTTCCTGTCATCTAACTTAGACATGGCACGGAATGCATGCTAAATCACGCTGCATATTTATATGTAAGGTACATGTATATCAACATGTTAGAAATAAATTGTATCAATGAACCTTCTCTTTCCTCTGCATTGTCCACCTCTAGAAAGTAAAATGTCACTTTGGAAAAGAAATATGACGCTTGTGCGTACTAACTGGCGTAAATCGTCAAAATGATATCAACCGATTATATGTTATTACCCATATGGGCAGGCTCGCTGACTTGGATGATGCATGTCCTCGTATCCCAATTGCACGGATCGATACTCATGATGTCAATCACTGGATTGTCTGGTCCAGACTCGATTATTAGCTCATCGGGTCCAAAGGACCAAGGTGAGCTTATGCCATACCATGGCGTTCGTCTTCGTACGTCTACAATTTATTCAAACGACTTCTTCTTCTGAACCACTGATTGGTAACGAAATTAACGAAATTTGACTGGAAGCATCCCTAGGTGTAAGGGATTCAAAATTGTACAAATGGAGGGGCTGAGGGGCGGAGCCAAATAGGGGTAATTTGGCTACAATGCTTTATGGACTTCATCTCTGGAACTGAGAGATAGATATAAACCATATTTGGTTGGAAGCATTCTTAGGATTCAAAATTGTACAAATGGAGAGGCTGACCCCCCAAGGGGCGGGGCCAAATAGAGGTAATTTGGCAATATTGCTTTAAACCATTTCTTATCGGGAACTAAGAGATAGATGGGTCATTATCAAAATATGTACCCTTTTTATGTCAGTATATCTTTCATAAAGTTTGAGATAGCCCTGGGCCTAGATTTTCAAAACGACCGTAGCACTAAAATTATCGTGAAGTTAATTATCGTTAAGAAATCGTAGGTTATCGTAGCCTATTTTCGAAACTATCGTAGCCCTGAGATATCTTAAGTTTGTCGTAAATCTATGACAGCCCCATACCTGTCGTAAGTTTATTTTATCTTTATCCAAGATGGCGGCATACTTTGCCATAGATATTTTGGCAAACAATTAGTCTGTTTTACGTTCAAACATTGACATTTCATTTTGTTAAACTGTTTGATTTAAATTGACACTTCAGAAATGTTCTTAATCGCGACAGCGATCCACATAACTATGGAGTCGATAGCTTACAATACATTTCTATCCAAGTCCATGCTGAAGAAGTGTGAAACAACGTACCTTTTCGATAATTTGGGAATGATAAAAATGGAAGGTGTCGGCAAGCTATAGGAATGACCGTGACCTTATTTAAGGATTGAAGTTGTATTTGTTGACGTTCATCAGCTGATGAAGACAGTGCCTCACGTGAGCAAATCGCTTCATGGAAAATTTGCTCACGTGAGGCACTGTCTTCATCAGCTGATAAACGCCAACAAATACAACTTCAATCCTTATATTGACAGACACATAAATCATAACAAAACTATCCATTAAACATCAAACTTTAATTATTTAAGCGAACTATATCAACGCGGAGAGCCGTGACGTCGTGACGTCATCCGCCCCAAACATTCCATTTGGAGTGACATCCCTTGGTTTTACAAACGGTAGAAAATGGCGGCTACGGAAATGTTAGTCACTTGAAAAGAGCACCTAGAAAAAGTTAGCGTTGGAAAGAAACCCAGACGCGGCTGATGCTGAAAATGGATTGATATTAACGTTCTGTGAACTTTGGGTGTGTGTTCGAGTCATAGTACGGCTGCTGATGTCGGGGATCACCGCTTGAGTCGTCAGTTGTCCCTAATGATTTTTAATGTTATTTTTAGTAGTTCACGTATGACTCCGCTCGATTGACAACGTAATCACGTGACATACTGACGCTCATCGGGAAATGAACGACAGTCAGCTTGGTAGTGTTCACCTAGGCGAGGTCACCCGCTACTGTTGATAACTCAGGGGCAGCTAATCTTAGTTCATACTCAAGTTGAGAGTGGTTTCCCTTTGTATTCGTGTCTGCAAGCTCCTTCCCAGCGCGTGAGACCGCCTCCGTGGTCTTGTGGTAGAGCGTCCGCCCGGAGAGCGGAAGGTCCGGGGTTCGATCCCGGGCCGCGTCATACAAAAAGACGTTAAAAGATTGTACTTGTTGTTACCCTGTCTGGCGCTCGGCATTAAGGGGCTAAAACAAGGACTGGTCGGCTCGGAGTCAGTATACTGTGTCTGAGTGGGGTATTCATGTTAAACTGCGGCATGGTGTAACGTGTTTTATGGTGTTTGTTTGTCGTATGAAGACTTAAATAACAAACAACACGTTAGCTGATCGTGTGTAGCTTTTACTTCTCTTGCCCAACTAGTAGGAACAGAGTTACCTCCCCTGTTCCCGAACATAACAATAATGCACGCTTATATATACGCCACATCCTTCCTCTCAAAGATATGTCACTCACACCAGATTATCAAATTAGAGTCCTTGATAGACTTAACTTAACACAATTTTGAATTAACACTTTAGCACGCCTAGTCCTTGTACTTTGCAGGCATTTTCACCAGTCTACCACTTGAAGTTCTCACTTCCTTTGGAACTGTCACTGGTTCACTTGGTTCGGTCTCTGGTAGTTTAGATTTAGGTGAAATTGTCTTTGGTACTGTATGTGTGTTTTCACTGATTTTTCTGTTACCATGGTTACTTGAAGATTGTCTTGATTGAGTGATTGGTGGATTATCTGGAACAGATGGATTATTGACAACTTCTGTATCATATCTAAGAGGTGGCGGTTCATTTGAAAGTCTGAGATGCTTTCTATTTCTTCTCAGAATTCTTCCATCCTGCATTTTCACTTCATATGATCTCTCTCCCACTTGTTTCTCTACAGATGCTTTTTTCCACTGTTTATTGTTGTAGGGCTGAACTCTCACTGTTTCACCTGTCTTTAACATGCGCAGTGGATGTGTAGATCTATTGTAGTATTTTGCTTGCTTTACTTTTCTTTTCAGCAATTTTCCTTTTTCATTTTCACCTTTTCTTGATTTCAGCAATTTAGGTGATGTTGGAAGAAGTGTCTTAGTTCTCCTACCATACAGCCTTTGAACTGGTGATGTACCAATACCTTCGGTAGGCACATTTCTCCAATCTAGTAGAGATAGAAATGGGTCAGTTTCAGCAAGCTTGGATTTTGTCATGAGTCTCTTTACTGTTTTTACAGCATTTTCAACTTTACCATTTGACTGAGGATGCCTTGGTGATGATGTGACATGCTCAAATTTGTAGTTTTCAGCAAACACAGCAAATGATTCGGAATTGAAAGGTGGTCCGTTGTCCGACATGAGCTGGTCCGGTATTCCATGACGAGCTAGTTGATACTTCAGTTTGCCTATCACTTCTTTGGAATCTTTACCTTGAAGACGATCAACTTCAAAATAGTCAGTGAAGTAGTCGACTGTAAGTAGGTAATCATGATTTTCAAATTCGAACAGGTCACATGCTATCTTCTCCCATGGGCGAGATGGAATTGCATGACTCATGAGCGGTTCTCTCCCTTGCTCTTGTTGTACACTGTTGCATATCTCACATTTACTGATATAATCAGTCAAGTCTTTTACCATGTTTGGCCAGTAGACTAGTTCACGAGCCCTCCTGATACATCCTTGGATACCAATGTGACTTGCGTGTATCCTTTCCATTATTTCAGGTCGCAAGTTATTTGGAATCAGTATACGTTCACCCTTGAAGATGACGTCGTCTTGCTCTGATAATTCCTCCCGGAATGTGAAATAATCTCTTACTGCAACAGGTAAGTTCAGTTTGTTTTCAGGCCATCCCTGCAGAATTATCTTCTTCAGATTTTGCATGTTAACATCTGACCGAGTTGCGGACTGTATCTGTGACAAGGTTTTGTCTGAGACATTAACATAATCCTTCATTTGAATTGTTTCAGTTTCCAGCTCAGTAGAGGATCTGTGATCAACATTGAAGATGTCACTTGAGTCACTGGATTCTTTGGATTTGGATTGAGGTAAGTATGCACGACTCAAGGTGTCTGCTACATACATTTGAGATCCTTTCTTGTAGTTCACTTTCAGGTCAAACTTCTGGATCCGTAGAAGCATTCTCTGTAAGCGTTTAGGTGCGCTTAGCAGACTTTTGAGCATGATGGACTCAAGAGGTTTGTGATCTGTTTCTACATAGATCTTCCTACCATAGGTATACATCTCAAATCTCTCCAACCCAAACACAATCCCAAGCATCTCCTTTTCGATTTGTGCATAGTTCTTTTCTGATGGTGTTAATGCACGAGACGCATAGGCTATTGGGTGTCCTTCTTGCATTAGGCAGGCTCCCAATCCATTTTGAGATGCATCACATTGCAGGTAAGTCTCTTTTGAGTCATCAAAATATTTCAACACTGGCGGTTCAGAGAGAACATTCTTGATCTCTTCAAAACTTCTGCCATGAACATTTGGATCCCATTTGAAGTTTGTCTTATCCATAATAAGTGATCTCAGTGGTGCAGTGATCGCTGAAATATTTGGTGCGAACTTTTGGACGAAGTTTACCATTCCTAGCAGTCTTTGTACCCCTTGTTTGTCAACAGGAGCTGGCATGTGCGTGATCGCTTTCACTTTGTTCGGATCAATTTTCAGACCAGATTTAGTCAACACATGTCCAAGGTAGGGAACTTCTGGTAACTTCAACTTGAACTTTTCTTTATTCAACTTGATATTTTTTTGTTTGCAGCGTTCCAGAAAAGCTCTGAGATTTCGATCATGGTCAGCTTCTGCCTCCTCATCACTGTTGCCACATCCATATATGAGGACATCGTCATGAATTGCTTTCACACCTGGGAGTCCTATAAGAGCTTCATCCATCCTCCTTTGGAACTCTTCAGGGGCAGGAGAGATACCAAAAGGCATACGAAGCCATCTAAATCTTCCCCAAGGCGTTTCGAATGTTGTGAGTAAGCTACTCTCTTTGTCCAATACGATGTGCCAAAATCCATTTTTAGCATCTGCTAGTGTGAAGTATTTCGCATTTGCTAATTCAGGTAAGATATCATCTATGGTCGGCATTAAATAGTGACTTCTTTTCAGGGCTTCATTTAGTGGTTTAGGATCAATACAGAGACGGATCTTCCCACTTGGCTTGACCACAACTACCATCGCCGATATCCAGTCTGTGGGGTCTGTAACCGGAGTTATTATGTTCATCTTAACTAGTCTCTCTAGTTCATCTTTTAGTTTTGGTTTCATTGCTACAGGTACTTTTCTACATGGAATTTGAACTGGTGTAGCAGATTCATCAATCTCCAGATGCAACTCTCCCTCAAGCTTACCATCGCCTTCAAACAGTTCTGGATACTTTGATGTAACATCCTTCAAAGTCACAGGTGAGTCTTCTTTATTTACAACATTAACTTGATCTTCTGCTGCAACTGACATGATATTGTCTCTATTGACAGTGATCAATCCCATATGTTGGATGACTCTTGATCCAAGAAGAGGCTTGTAATTACCTTTTGTTATGAGGAATTCAATACTGTACTTCTTGTTGTTCCTTGGATTGACGACCATGACTCTTCTCTTGCCCAATGGCGATGTTTCTGCTCCATTATACATGATCAAAGTTGTTGATGCCTCCTGTAGATTGTCTAACGTCGGATCATCATAGATTTCAGAGTAGAGAGTTTCTGGTAATAGATTGACAGTTGCGCCGCAATCAAGTTGAAATTTCACCTCTGTTTTCTTCAAAGTCATTTTAGCAAACAGTTTGTTTTGATACATCTCTTCTTTAACACTGTCTTCAACTGAAGTGTGCATTGCCATGATGTATTCAGCATCTTCATCATGTTCATCTGTATCATATTCATCTACCACTTGTACTTGTCCTTTCTTTTTCTTTCCTTTAGGACATTTGTCTGCAAAGTGATTTTTTTTCTTGCATTTGGAACAGGTGTGTCCATATGCTGGGCACCTTTCTCGACCGAATATATGTTTTTGACCACAGTATCTACATTCCCACAAGTCTTTTTCTTTCACTTTGTCAGATTCTCTTCTTTCTGGTTTAGCTGTTTTCTTCTGAACCAGTCCTTTTTTCTTTGACTTGACTGATTTTACTTCTTCTGAAGCTGCACCAATGTTCTTTAATTGCAGAGCTGCTGTTTCATAAGCTCGACAAATGTCAACTGCACTTTTCAGTGTAAGTTTTGAGTCTTGAAGAAGTCTCTTTCTTGTATTGTTGTCCCTTATTCCCATGACGATTCTATCTCGGATCAGTGAGTCTTCTAGCGTTCCATAGTTGCATGTCTTTGCTAAGGTCCTTAATACAGTCACATATGCATCAATACCTTCACTGCTATCTTGATCCCTTGTATTAAAGTTGTATCGCTCATAGGTTTCATTTGTTTCTCCAATACAGAAAGTCTTTAGTTTCTCAAGCACAACTTCTTCTTTCTGTCTATCATCTTCATTATCAAAACTCATGCCATCAATAACATCTAACACATCAGTTCCAATGCATGTCATTAATGTTGCACATTTACAATGACTAGATTCATTTGAAAGTCTAGATGCAATCACATAATTGTCCCAACCTCTTTTAAATTTTCTAAAGTTAGTTGCCAAGTTTCCCTTTAATTCCAATTTCTGTGGGAAAGGAATATTTACAGGAACATGTATGATTGTTGGCGCTTGAACTTGCACATCTTGCCCTCCTTCAGCCATATTGATTTGCAATAAACTTCTTAATATTGTCAGATTTGGCAAAAATCGTTTATCTTCATTACACACTTGGCACTATTTATTTTTTTTCCAACATGGCGTCCCAAATTCGCTAGTGAGACAACATTCTTGGGCATATTTCTGTTTCTGCTTATATTGACGTTAATAGTCTTCTATATTCATGAAATGTTCATAAAAGTTATTTTGTCACTTGTTCAAATAGTATCTGCTCTACAGTCTATCACAAAATAGCTTAGATGCACTAAATGCGACGATCAAAACAAACCACGTGGTCCGAGTTGACGAACCGATCGGCATTCAAATACAACGAAGATACACGTTGACATTCAAATTATTGGCTTGCGATGAGTTCTTTAGTCACTTCTGACACCATGTAACGTGTTTTATGGTGTTTGTTTGTCGTATGAAGACTTAAATAACAAACAACACGTTAGCTGATCGTGTGTAGCTTTTACTTCTCTTGCCCAACTAGTAGGAACAGAGTTACCTCCCCTGTTCCCGAACATAACAATAATGCACGCTTATATATACGCCACACATGGTATCTCAGTGAGCTAGCACTATAAATCGGCATCAGTCCGGACTAGTACAAGCAGCCACACACACACATACACGTGCATGCACGTCGCTATATAAGTGCAATAATCTTGGAAGCGACGTTAAACCCAATTTCACCTCACCTCACCCAGCGCGTGACACCTTCGTTACCACAGCCCATGCTCGTCGTAAGAGGCGACTAGGCCTAACATACACTCCCGGTAACATCGCGATAGTATAGTGAGCTCCGCGATCGGGCTATTGCTGTGAGGAGCTTGTCGTGTCTGACTGGCTGTGCTATTTGACTCAAAAATAGCTGTCTTAATTAACCCTCTGGCTGCCACCTAAAAATAGCCTGTGTACTATCGCTGTGCCAAGTTTATTTGCGAGTGACGTTCTTGAAACTGCACATGATGGTAAAGTTCAACATGCAGTAAATAATAGTGGTATCATTGCTCCAGACTCGGTGATATCATGGATGCGTTTAGCTCATACTCATAGGTTCAGGGAGAAATGTTGGAGGTATTTATGTATAATATAGGTCCAGTGTTTGTGGTAACGTAAGTTTGTAATGGTTTATCAAAGAGCTGTTCGCGCAGTTTCATCACAATGACATCACAGGTAAAAGATGGACAATATTAGTTGTTTTAACTCTTTCAACACCAGTCAACCAGAAGCGTTTACTGCTGTGAGTTACCAGAGATTCTTGTGTGATAGATGAAACCAACATTTATCTAAGAAAATATCTGCTTGTAAAACATCTTTGCTACTGTATGTTATACACCATTTGAAAGGTCTGATCCTATTGTTTATAAATATGAAAGTTATGTTTATCACATTATTTAAATAATGCATTTACAGCTTAATTATGTTCGTTGTAAATAAAAAGTGGTAGCTAACACATACATAACGTCAAGATTAAGGACCAAGGAAGCGAAAATTTGACGATATTCGGCAAATATACGATTTCATAAAATACACTTACCTATTTGTTATTTATTTTTATTGTTTACGTAATTGGAAAAACATTTTAAAAAGAATTATAAATAGTATCTGTCATAAACAATGTGACCTGACCATGTGATCATGAATTCCATGTCACTTCTCCATGTTGTGTTATTGTCAGCGGCTGGGAAATCCCCGTGACGTCATTGGGAAACACCCTGTTTTTTCAATCGCTTACACAAGTTCTCTGTCAGAGTTACGACAGCTATCATATCTTTGTGCGATCTGCCACAGGCTCCTCAATTTTAATACCCGCCTCCATGGTGTCACGGATTTGATCCCATGCCGCATCATATCGAAAAACATTAAAACATTGTACTTGTTGCCCTGCCTGGTGCTTTACATTATGGGGCTAACACAAGGACTGGTTGGCTCAGAATCCGTGAACTGTGTCAGAGTGGGGTATCCATGTTAAACTGCAGCTTGATATCTTAGTGGGCAATAACCTGTTTACTTTTCCTGGTCAATTTTGGCCTGGGTTTGGTTTGGCCAATCCTGGCCATGTGTGGGAAAAACTGATCTAGGCTATTACTTCCCCATATTTCAGCCTGTTACAGCTCATCAGTAGGTTTCTGGATCGCCCAAGGGACACAACTCTGCACAGTGAATTGCAGCGCCTTAGACAACTGGGCCACCCGTGCCCAGTTGCAATTAAGGGCATCCATATGCTGTGTGCAAGACGCCTTAGCATACTTCAGCGCAGTGATGACTTAGCCATTACAAGCCAGAAACATATTGACCTGTTGGCCTAACTAGAATGTTTTGTTTGTTTGTTGTTTAACACCGCACACAACAATGCTCCAGCTATATGATGGTGGCCTGTAAATAATCGAGTCTAGACCAGACAATCCAGTGACTGACATCATGAGCATCGATCCACACAATTGGGATGCGATGACATGCATCTACCAAGTCAGCATGCCTGACCACCCGATCCCCTTAGTCGCCTTTTACGGCAAGCATGGTCCAGACTTGATTATTTACAGATCGCTGTCATAGAGCTGGAATATTGATGAGTGTGATTAACAACAAACAAACAAACTGAAGTGAAATGCCATATCAGGGACAAAAAATTAAACTGACCCTCATAAATAACCTTGTGAGTGACTTATATTTGTGTGTCATAGCAGAAAATAATGAAACAAGTGGTTGATAGTATGACCACATGCTTCAACAAGATGACACACCCATCCCTCAACAATTTGCTTTTACAAGCGAATTAATTTAATGAATGTTGTTGAAATCTGTGTGTGTGTGTGTGTGTGTGTGTGTGTGTGTGTGTGTGGACCTGACAATACAGTGATTTATTTTATGAGCAATCATCCATGCTGTCGGGTATGAACACATGCAATCAACCAAGTCACGAGTCACCATTTGGTCGGCTCTTACGACAAGCACCACTTGTAGGGGACCTATTTTAATCCAAAATCCTACTCAACAATATTCAAGTTATGCAATGGCTGCCTGTAAATATTCAAGTGTGGACAAGAGAATACAGTGATTGATATTGTGAGCACCGATCCATGCCGTCAAGGCACCACCCAATCCACTTGGTAGCCTCTTACCACAACCATAAACACATGGGGACCAAATCTATCCTGGAAGCCCCACAAGGAAATGCACAGAAATTCATAACAAACAATATATGTGAGCACTTTATTTCATAAACAGACACCACAATTTCAAAAGTTCCGTAGCTCTAATTTAAAGCAAAGTCCACGTCCTGGCTAGCATACAGTAAAGGGAAGCAACTCTGTATTCACCCAGGAAACCAAATTATGAAAAATGGGTTGTCTGCTTGATGGCATGGTTGGCAAAGCAAAGATGACTGATATCTTGACATCAAGATCAACATTTGTCATTTACCTTTCAACATATCTACCACAATTAATTACGAGTCATGATTTGCTAGGTAAAAAAAACCCAGGTAATTTCATCCAGTGATTCTCTGTGAGTGAGTGTTGCTTAAGGATATCCGCTAGGATAAGTTTTCAATCACTGAATCAACTTGAACTATTGTCTATGTGAGTTTTCTGATGACATAATGGAAGTCAACCTATCCCTGATACGAAACAACGCAACCCAGAATCGTATGCCTGGTGTGGATCTGGTGCAGTAGTTAACAAGCCCGCTAAGCTCAACAAATTCCACACTCACATTCTTTTTCTAATTTGGACAAATAGATAAAATCATAAAGATTTTAGAAATATCTCAGAAACGTTAAATACTTTTAAATATGGACCATCTTCCCGAGGCAAGAGAGTTAACTGACTTTAAAAGTCCAGTTTCCACTGTTGCCGAACTAGGCTGGAATTCCTGGGCTCGATCGTAGCACCACCAGTGTCTATTACGAGTTATGTCCTTTCTATGCCTCTCCTATTAACCAATCAGATTTAACCTCTCGTATCACTTGCATTTGCTTCAAACAAAACGGTGGCGCCCAGTCAAGACGATCTGATCGATAATCAAGATCTATATTGTGATAAAACGAGTCTTACATCGCGAAGTGCATCAAATCACGTGAGAACCTTGATTAAAAACATGAAAAGATTTAGAAAATATCTGTTGACAACGAGTTAGCGGTGCACATGCTTTGCAAATCCTCCAGTAGACCAAAATCTGCCCGACACTTTACGAACTGGATTTTGATTTCGGTGCGCGATTTTGATTGGACTATGCCTCGGGAAGATGAATATGGACCAGCGGATATCCTTAATGCTACAGTATTACAGCCACATGATAATGCTCTGTACATAATGCAGTGTGGACGAGATAAAATACAAGTCAACATCAATGAGATACAACACAAATGAACCTCTGGTTGCAAAATAACTTTTTATGGCACTTTAGTAAAGGTAATATGAGGCCAATGATTTCATAGTTTCATATTACAACTAATACTTCAAGTTCTTGAGGTCAGTCATCATGGACAGGAATAGGTGTTCAACACCAGCATTACAACCGTGTTGTAAAAATACTTGTACCTCTGTCCAGTTTCATCAAAGTCTATGCCAGGTCATTTTGTTCGAAGTATTTGGCCACAAGACATATCATCAAATTAAGTTCCAGCAGCCTTGAATCTTCGGGATTGTCCTGAAAATAAACAACAAAAGAGTGAGTGAGGGATGTTTGTTTGTTTGTTTGTTGTTTAATGCCGCACTCAGCAATATTCCAGCTATATGACAGCGGTCTGTAAATAATCGAGTCTGGACCAGACAATCCAGTGAATGACATCATGAGCATCGATCCAGACAATTTGGATACAATTACATGCTTCAACCAAGTCAGCCAGCCTGACCCTGTTAGTCGCCTCTTATGACAAGCATAGTCGCCATTTACGACAAGCAAGTTGCCTCATGAAGAACACTGTAAACTGCCATACACAGATTTGACAGAAATGGTTTTGATACAGAAGAAGAATATTTTGCCAACTAAGATCTGAACAAACTCCTTGAATTCCCTACAATTGATCACTGCTGACAGTTACATAGAATGTGAACATATTTTATGTCTGTTTGTTTGTGTGTTTGTTTGTTAACGCCGCACTCAGCTATATTACTGACATCACAAGCATCGACCCACGGAATTGGGATACAATGACATACATCAACCAAGTCAGCAAGCCTGACCACATGATCCTGTTAGTCGCCTCTTAAGACAAGCATAGTACCTTTTTACGGCAAGCATAGGATGCAGAAGATCTATTCTAACCTGGACCTTCACAGATGCGGAAGATCTATTCTAAACTGGACCTTCACGGATGCTCAGATGCGGAAGATCTATTCTAACTCGGACCTCCACGGATGCTCAGATGCGGAAGATCTATTCTAACCCGGACCTCCACGGATGCTCAGATGCGGAAGATCTATTCTAACCCGGACCTCCACGGATGCTCAGATGCGGAAGATCTATTCTAACCTGGACCTTCACGGATGCTCAGATACGGAAGATCTGTTCTAACCTGGACCTCGATGGATGCTCATATGGGGAAGATCCATTCTAAACCGGACCTTCACGGATGCTCAGATGTGGAAGATCTATTCTAACCCGGCCCTTCATGGATGCTCAGATGCAGAAGATCTATTCTAACCGGACCTTCACGGATGCTCAGATACGGAAGATCTATTCTAACCCGGACCTTCACGGATGCTCAGATGCGGAAGATCTATTCTAAACCGGACCTTCACGGATGCTCAGATACGGAAGATCTATTCTAACCCGGACCTTCACGGATGCTCAGATGCGGAAGATCTATTCTAAACCGGCCCTTCATGGATGCCCAGATGTGGCAGATCTATTCTAACCTGGACCTTCACGGATGCTCAGATACGGAAGATCTATTCTAACCCGGACCTTCACGGATGCTCAGATACGGAAGATCTATTCTAACCCGGAACCTCCACGGATGCTCAGATGCGGAAGATCTATTCTAACCCGGACCTCCACGGATGCTCAGATGCGGAAGATCTATTCCAACCCGGACCTCCACGGATGCTCAGATGCTGAAGATCTATTCCAACCCGGACCTTCACGGATGCTCAGATGCGGAAGATCTATTCTAAACCGGACCTCCACGGATGCTCAGATGCTGAAGATCTATTCTAACCCGGACCTTCACGGATGCTCAGATACGGAAGATCTATTCTAACCCAGACCTTCACGGATGCTCAGATACGGAAGATCTATTCTAACCCGGACCTTCACGGATGCTCAGAGTACGTACCAGAGAAGTCCGGAGGTTGGAGCAGAGCCTGGCCAGATCTCTGATGAGAGAGCATGCCTCTGGCAAGAGCGGCTTCTGTAGGCTGGCCAGCAGTGCGTAGAACCATCGACCCTGTAACAGGTGAACAGTATGTGACAGTTGTGTTTCAGATACTACATAGATAAGAACATCAGAGGAAAGTGAGATAAACTACTCACTCACCTGAATATATATTAGATAAGAAAAGTGAAACAAGGCATGTTTTGTTTGTTTGTTTGTTTGTTTGTTTGTTGTTTAATGCTGCACACAGCAATATTCCAGCTATTATTACAGTGGTCTGTAAATAATTGAGTCTGAACCAGACAATCCAGTGATTGACATCATGAGCGTTGATCCACACAATATTGTGATATGACGACATGAATCAACCATGTCAGCGAGCCTGACCACCTAAACCCGTTTATCGTCTCTTACAACAAGCATAGTCACCTTTTACGGCAAGCATTGATTGCTGAAGACCTATTCTACCCCGGATCTTCACGGGATGAAACAAAGCATGCAGAACTGGTTATGTAGAAGGCTACCTGTTATGTTAACTATTGGGAGCCGTAGCAGTGCATGAACGTCAAAGGTTGAAATTGTGACAAATATCACAATACAGCAATGATTAATGTATCGTCATTAGAAGATAAACCTACCGTGTTTTGAAAATTAGAGGTAGTATAACGGATTTATATACTTGCTTTAAATTTAACTTAAAACTGAACATGTTACCGAATTGTTAACATAATAATGATGATAAGGTGAGGTGAAATGGGGTTTAACGTCGCATCCAAGATTATTGCACTCATATAGTGATGTGCATGCACATGTGTGTGTGGTTGCTTGTACTAGTCCGGACTGATGACGATTTATAGTGCTAGCCCACTGAGATACCATGCCGCATTTTAACATGAATACCCTACTCAGACACAGTATACTGACTCCGAGCCGACCAGTCCTTGTTTGAGCCCCTTGATGACAAGGGTATTAACAAATACCATCTTTTAACGTCTTTTTGTTTGACGCGGCCGGAACCTTCCGCTCTCCAGGTGAACACTCTGCCCCTAGACCATGGAGGTGGTGTTAACATAAACTTAATCAAATTGGATAATAATACATGCAGAAATGGCTGAGAAATGGATGTTAGCTCGGAGAAAGAGAATGATGTGGCAGGGGTATTCACGTGCTCCGGTCCTGTCATCCACTGGACCACGGAGACAGTCTCTTACGACAAGAGTGCTGGTAAGTACAGAGTAAGTGCACATGTACCTGGTGTGAAGTGAAGCCTGTTGCCTCCAGCCAGTTGACATGGTATTCTAACACTTTTATCACCATGGTCTGAAACAGCAACAACAGACAACAATGTAAGTCAAAGAATGTACTTCCGGTAAGTGAATAGATTTAGGCAGTATTTATAAGATTTTGTACAGGTAGAGTTCAGTGTAAAATTTCAGAGAGAAAATGTATTTGGATCATACATTGTCAGTGATTTGTTGTCTCCATTCAAACTGCTCTAGAGGAAATGCAGCAAGCCTTCTACATGTTGAAAGTTTTAGTTGTAAGGCATTCTGATGGTAACAAAAAACCTGAAAAAAGACAAAAAGAGCGAACACCTTTGTGAACATTCTTTTGTCTGACTCTTTTGTCGCCAAGCTTACAAAGTTTACAATTAGGTAAAATGGAAAAAAACACAAGATCTTAAAACCAGTTTGTAGAAATGGTGAATGATAGAAATAAAAAATAACTTTGATCTAACAAGAAACACAACCAATTATCTTTTGGTATCTTGCCATGTTAAAACTTGTTTGTTTTTCATTAATTAATTAGTAGCAGTACTAATCTGGAAGCTGAATTTGAAAATGTTAATATTCAACCACCTAAATTAAAATTTAGGCCAAACATTTCATAAACCAATAAAAAATATATGTGAAGTAAGTAATAGGACATGTTAAGGTTCAAAGGACAGGTAGTGGAAAGTTGATGTGTACAACTTACTGGTAATGCTACAGATGACGAAGGATACTACAACACTCCAAATATTTGTATATTTATATACTTATTCTATCTCACACTATGCATTTTTTTCTTTATCTTTCGATCCTGTGTGGAAACGTTCTTGAACAAAGTTTCCAGCTTCTCGTACATTTGACCCGAACACATCCCAGTATCACCATGGTCACCACGCAAACAAATGGGTCACTGACTGTAATCCCGTGCACAGCGACCTACATGACCCGATCACATGAATACCCCTGCCACATCATTCTCTTTCCTAGAAATAACAGGCTAGAGAAGCTGTGATGCAGGGACGATTAGGAGTGAGTGAGTGAGTTGGGTTTAACGCCGCTTTTAACAGTATTACAGTTGTATCACGGCGTGTCAGCTTAATTTGGGATGGGAGGAAAGCCAGAAGTGATGCATGTCTCAGACGTTGACCACTTTGGTGAAACCCATGAGCACGGGTATGGTGCTGACAAACCTAGAAACATAATTGGGGCGATTCGGGATTCGAACCCACAACCATAGGTTTCTTGCGTGCCCAAGGGACACAACTCTGCACAGTGAATTGCTGCACCTTAGACGACTGGGCCACCCGTGCCCCCGGGACGATCAGGAGGTCATATAGTGTGTGAAATAGGATAAGTTAAGTAAGTTTTAATCATCTAACATTATTACGTTCACTTGAAATAGGACTGGTTTGGTTTGTTGTTTAACGCCGCACTCAACAATATTCCAGCTATATGACGGCGGTCTGTAAATAATCGAGTCTGGACCAGACAATCCAGTGATTAATATCATGAGCATCGATCCACGCAATTGGGATCGATGACATGCATCAACCAAGTCAGCAAGCCTGACCACCCGATCCCGTTAGTCGCCTTTTACGACAAGCATAGTCGCCTTTTACGGCAAGCATGGGTTGCTGAAGACCTATAATACCCCGGAATCTTACCTCAGAATATTTTGATGAACATAGCTACAGTGCTAAGTTGTGAACCTGCAACTAACGTGTCTCACCTGATCCATGAAGAGGACGATGCTCAGTAGTGGTGGTGTCCCTTGCATGGAGGCTTGTGATGTTGAAGGCTGGTCCGTGATGTTGTAGGCCCCTAGCGGCATCGCACCGCCTTCAACCATGGGCTCCACACTCTCCTCAAAGCAGTCACCCGCAACCGTTTTGATTTTCAACCGATCGAAACACAGGCGGCACCAGTTATCGGCATCATTTGTCGAGGGCTACAAAAAGTTAGTATGACCCAGATCAGATCAACATGCATAGGAGCCAATTAATTTAAACAATCTTAGTAAAATCTAAATATTTTTTACATTTGTATACTTATCCTGCGTTACTCTTTAATGCATTCACTGCTCACCTTACGACAACTAGAAAGACATCGCAAATAACGAACACAGAGTGAGGGAGAGAGTGTCTGAAGCTGCTTTCAGTTACATTTTGAAGGAAAGCTGAGAGTGATGAAGGTCTTCAGCGTTAGAAATTGGCCCAATAGTTAAGGCATCAATTAATCCATTAATAAGGGTCTTGTTAAATTTCTTATTTTAAGGTTTTGGTTTTGGCTTGGTTTGTTGTTTAACGCAGCACTCAGCAATATTCCAGCTATATGACGGCAGTCTGTAAATAATCGAGTCTGGACCAGACATTCCAGTGATTAATATCATGAGCAATTGGGATCGATGACATGCATCAACCAAGTCAGCGAGCCTGACCACCCGATCCCATTAGTCGCCTTTTACGACAAGCATAGTCACCTTTTACGGCAAGCATGGGTTGCTGAAGACCTATTCTAGCCTGGAATCTTCACGGGTCCCTTATTTTAAGGACTAGTGGACTAAAACTGTTAGTTTCTGACGCTGGTCTTAGATGTGTACCAAAAGAACAAACATTTAACATGTTTAAGTTATTTTAACATTACAGAACGGGATGGTTGACATCATATAAATATCTTGGAGAACAGCTGATATTTACATAAGCATGATACATGTATGCTCATTTGATAAATCACTGATAAAAATTTGAGCTAGGTGGTTAGGGTAGTTTAGAGGGTCTATGCCTTTGAGTTGTAGAAGTTGTGAAACAGGGAAATCCTATCTGTGTAATTAACTGAAAGATCTGAAGGCCATGAATCCAGCTTGCTGGAACTGCCTCCAAATCAAAATATGAATCAGTGTGTTTGTATGTTGTTTAACATTGCATTCAGCTATAAGACATGATTAAGTCACGTTTCACAAGCAGCATAGGCCGCAGAGACCCATTCTAACAAGGATGATGATGGATGAGTTTAGTTTTACGCTGCTTTTAGCAATATGCCAGCAATATCATGGTGGGGGACACCAGAAATGGGCTTCACACATTGTACCCATGTTGGGAATCGAACCCGGGTCTTGGCGTGACGAGAGAACGCTTTAACCACTAGGCTACCCGACCGCCCCATTCTAACAAGGAATCATCACAAGGTACTATAATGTAATTCACATAACTGTAAATTTTGCAAAAGAATATATATTTATAAACCTTATTCTATCTCACAGTATGCATTTCATTCCTCTCCCTCGATCCTGGTGTGGAAACGATCCAAGAACATGTTTCCAGCTTCAAAGAACACCTAACCCGAACACATCCGAGCCATAACCATGGTTACCATCACTATCAGTGGTCTTACCAATGCATGAATCTCGTGCTGTCTGATTGAGGGAGAGAGATGAAATGCATAGTGAGAGATAGGAAAAGTTTTAAAAACATATGTCAATAAACCAAGTCAAAGATAGTGCACAAAATGAGCCATTCTGGAACAATCTGTACCATGATGGCAGAGCCCATCACAAAAGCAACAAGTTTAAAATAGCAGGTGAGGTGAAATGGGGTTTAACGTCGCTTCCAAGATTATTGCACTTATATAGCGACGTGCATGTAAGTGTGTGTGTGTGGCTGCTTGTACTAGTCCGGACTGATGCCTATTTATAGTGCTAGCTCACTGAGATACCATGCCGCAGTTTAACATGAATATCCCACTCAGACACAGTATACTGACTCCGAGCCGACCAGTCCTTGTTTTAGCCCCTTAATGCCGAGCGCCAGACAGGGTAACAACAAGTACCATCTTTTAACGTCTTTTGGTATGACGCGGTCGGGGATCGAACCCCGGACCTTTCGCTCTCCGGGAGGACGCTCTACCACTAGACCACGGAGGCGGTCCTTTAAAATGATGCCTGAACTTACCAAGGTTGGCCTCTTCAAATTTAATTCTCCAGAGTTCAGCATAGCTCGGAATCTGAGCAATTTCTGGAAGAAAACACAAGCATGAGTTGCTGAAGACCTATTCTCATCTGGACCTTCATGGTGGTTGACATTTTGAGTGACGTTCTACGCCTCCTTGTCATACCAACTCATCCAAGGTAAGCACCTTTTACGTAAAGCAGTCGAGTTCTGGGCTTCTATTCTAACCAGTCAAAAAGGTACACTGGATAGCTATGCCTAGAGTACTGTCAGAAATTTAAAAAATGCTTTTTGCCCCCCCCCAAAATCGTATGGAATGTTTCACAGATTGTTGCTTTTAAAACATTGAGTAACCACCGATCTACCTTCCTGTGGTTTGAAGTATTTCGGTCACAGGAGTCCTAACAACAATTTTACAGGAGAAAAGTTTGAACAAAAACAGTAATGAGAGAAGTCTGAAACTGACTAAAGACTGACTGACTGAGTATGGTTTTACGCCGCTTTTAGCAATATTCCAGCAATAACACGGCGGGGGACACCAGAAAAGGGCTTCACACATTGTACCCATGTCTGGAATCGAACCCGGATCTTCGGCTTGACGAGCGAACGCTTTAACCACCAGGCTACCCGACCACCCGAGCTTAATACTGTATGTATGTGTGACTGTTATGATGATGATGCAATACAACACACAAATATTTTCTAAGTTGATCATCATTTTAACAGTAAAAGTACCTTTTTAGGCTAATCACAGTAATGGTTGGGATAGGCTTTATTAGGTGGATTTGTGTCATATTGATACACACTATGATTCGTATTTATTAAATGAACCCAGTAAAGCATATATGTAGCATTTCCATCAGTATTGTAATGTTATGGTGATTGTTATAATGTTGTTGTTCTTGTAATTTTTCATATATCATTGTACGCAATTAACTCAAAGAGAATTGGGTAATGCTGATTTGTTTAGCGCATTGTACGCAAATCTTCAGCTTATGAAACTCTGCAGACTGTTACGTATTGATGGCTTGAGAGTTACCTCCCTTGCTGTACGCACATAGGCATCACGTCACTGTTAGTGTTGTCTGATGGCGTTCTAGAAGCTGAGAAGTAAATCCAATGACCAACCACTTCTATCTGTTATAACTTGGTAGTTATGAAGTCTGGTAACATCAAACACTTAACATAGAAATTTTTACAAACCTGTAGAGGTTATGAATTCTCTGATGAAATCCTCCTTGGGGCACTTATTGCATTTTCCTTGCTCAAGAAAATCTACATGACATAGTTGTAACCATTTTTCCTCAATAAAAAATATTACCACACAAAAAACTTCGTTTTTGTATGATATACGACCCCCCTTACGGTGCCTCACCCTCCACGGCGCCCTGCGCCATGGGGAGTAACTCTCACCCAAATCACTTACCTTTATGTCATTCAACTGTCAAGATGTTTGATATTTTCAAGATAGTTTCAAAGAGGAACCTAATTGTTCACTGAGAGACCATGACTGACCAAACTGTATGTATGGTACATTTCTTTCCTTGCAAAGGCGTAACGAGGAGGATTTAATCTAAAAGAGAATCTGATAGCGGACTGGCAACCTCACCTGTCTCAACTCTGCAAAGTCTGTGACCTGCATCTTCTCCCAGGCAGGTGATGGAGCTAGTCCTCGAGGTGGAGGGAGACAGCTGGATGGCTAGAAACCAGGGCGAACAAAATGTCAAAACCATCCTAAATAGGAAAAGGCCCCATTCATGGCTAGTCTGATATCTGGCCACAGTTTGATCAAGAAATGTGGAAGTCTTTGAGTTATGCTCCAGAAACAAAACCTATTTCATTGACATCATGTATATCGAGGCGTGTCTGCTTGATGGAGGAAAGCAAATCAAAAAGCAATGGTCAGTGCTGGCAAACCTTGAAACATCTTCAGGGTGTGACTGAGCATCTTCCAGAGGCAAGGGAGTTAACTGACTGCAAAAGTCTAGTTTTCACCCTTGCCGAACTAGGATGAAATTTCTGGGCTCGATCGTAGTGCCAACAGTGGCTATTACGAATTACGTATGTCCCTTCCAATTAACTAATCAGATTCCACCTCTCATATTGCACTTGCAGGGAACATACTTGTGTGGGCTTATTACAGTGATTGATTTAATTAGTGTCCAGCGCTTCACTGACCACTGCGGTCTATACGGTCATATATATATATATATATATATATATATATATATATATATATATATATATATATATATATATATAAATCTTAATTTACCTCTTTATACTTCACAGTCTGTTTACTGTTAAATGCCTTGGCATCAATGGGGGCCACCACCACTCGGGAGCATTCTCGAGCCTCTTGTCTGCAAAAATACATTTTAGGTTTTAAAAAATGAAAGAATAGGTTCTCAGGCAATAGCTTTTGAAAATATATTGCAGGCCAGCAGGGTTTTTTTTCTGTGTTTTGTGTGTGTGTGTGTGTGTGTGTGTGTTCAAACTAGTATGTAACCAAATACACAGTTGTGTAACCAAATAAACAGCCTGGGGGGTCATCATGAGCCCTAGCTGTGCTACATGGAGTCATATGTCTTCTGTAGGGAGTCATTTTTACAAAACATTGTTTTGACGTCATATTTCGGAATATATTACCTATGATTGTGGGTTCGAACCCAAGTTCACCTTGATAATGTTTCTAGGTTTGTCAGCGAAGTGGTTAACGTCCAAGACCTGCATCACTTCAGGCTTTCCCCCTGTGTTTAACTCAACTCACTCACAAACTAATAATAAATCGTATTTAAATCTAAACAATATTATCTTCTTCAACTTATCCTCTTCTTAAATCCTATCCTATAACATGTATATTTATCTCCTACATACATGAAATATGCACAGCAATTCTAGACTTGACAATGCCCTGGGAGTATTGTTTGACCATTCCAGGAACTGATTGGCAGTTGGGGCTTGTCCAGCCATCATGAGTGTTGAACATGCAGCTGAACATCAGGTAAAATCAAAGATGGCAGTCTGTAGCAGAACAGGGAAGTCCAGCTACTTTTCTTTCCTCCTAGCGACCGCCTCCGTGGTCTTGTGGTAGAGCGTCCGCCCGGAGAGCGGAAGGTCCAGGGTTCGATCCCAGGCCGCGTCATACAAAAAGACGTTAAAAGATGGTACTTGTTGTTACCCTGTCTGGCGCTCGGCATTAAGGGGCTAAAACAAGGACTGGTCGGCTCGGAGTCAGTATACTGTGTCTGAGTGGGGTATTCATGTTAAACTGCGGCATGGTATCTCAGTGAGCTAGCACTATAAATCGGCATCAGTCCGGACTAGTACAAGCAGCCATACACACAAATACACGTGCACGCACGTCGCTATATAAGTGCAATAATCTTGGACGCGACGTTAAACCCAATTTCACCTCACCTCACCTCTTTCCTCCTAGCAATCCCATTTTATCCACCTATCTGTCTACTGTTTGGGGTGCTTACACACCACAGATAAGAGTGAGTGAGTGAGTGAGTGAGTGAGTTGGGTTTAACGCCGCTTTTAACAACATTCCAGTTATATCGTGGGGTGTCAGCTTAATGTGGGAGGAAAGCCCGAAGTGATGCAGGTCTCAGACGTTTATCACTTCGGTGAAACCCACGAGCACGGGTATGGTGCTGACAAACCTAGAATTATAATCGGGGCGAACCGGGATTCGAACCCACAATCATAGGTTTTGGGCGTGCCCAAGGGACGCAACTCTGCACAGCAAATCGCGGCGCCTTAGACGACTGGGTCACCCGTGCTCCACAGTTCCTTTGGACCCTCGTGACTACTGACATAGTGGACATCGGTCTGTTTTGAGGATACCCCTGTCTGTGGTTTGCCCAAAGCAACAGTGAGTGAGTGAGTTTGGTTTTACGCCGCTTTTAGCAGTATTCCAGCAATATCACGGCGGTGGACACCAGAAATGGGCTTCACACATTGTACCCATGTCGGGAATCGAACCCGGGTCTTCAGCGTGACGAGCGAACGCTTTAACCACTAGGATACCCGACCGCCCCAAAGCAACAGTGACCTTCACAAAGGTGTCATGAACATGATGAAGTGGAACTGATTTAAGCAGTGTATTTGACTTCATGGAGTGCCGTGCTTTCCTTGCGCCACAGCAAGTGCATATCGGCTTCCGCATGGTGTTGGATGCTGAACGTAATGTACATGAGAGATTGTCTGGGTTGGACTGAGGATGTATGTGTCAGTTGATATCACTGGCCACACAATCGCTGAACATCTTCCATTGTTCCATGTGCTTCAAATTTACTTGCATGTTGATTGAATGTGCGCGGCAGGCCTGCTTCCGGAAGGGAGAGAGAAAGGTGAGGTGAGGTGAAATGGGGTTTAACGTCGCATCCAAGATTATTGCACTTATATAGCGACGTACATGTACGTGTGTGTGTTTGTGTGGCTTCTTGTACTAGTCCGGACTGATGCCGATTTATAGTGCTAGCTCACTGAGGTACCATGCCGCAGTTTAACATGAATACTCCACTCAGACACAGTATACTGACTCCGAGCCGACCAGTCCTTGTTTTAGCCCCTTAATCATGTTAATGCTGAGCGCCAGACAGGGTAACAACAAGTACCATCTTTTAACGTCTTTTGGTATGACACAGCCGGGGATTGAACCCCGGACCTTCCGCTCTCCGGGCAGACGCTCTACCACTAGACCACGGAGGCGGTCGGAGAGGGAAAGACCCGGGTAGGGTCGGGTAGATGGTACTAAATTTGGAATCTTCTCAGTCAGCCCTTGTGTGGGCACAGATCTATTGCAAAACACATAGGTGTCATCAGTACATGCAGAATGGCGACTGTCGGATCATAGGTTTTAAGACATACTTTTTTCGGACGGCTTATGTTTATCACGATTAAACACGCTATAGCAAGGGGTGTTGAGTCACAAAGATATTGTAAATACTCAGATGATGGCCTGTTTTTAAGATAAAGTCAGTTTTTATAACTGAGTGAGATGTTTTACAGTTGTTCTTGTGACTAGATTTGTTTGTTTGTTGTTTAGCGCCGCACTCAGCAATATTCCAACTATATGACTGCAGTCTGAAAATAATCGAGTCTGGACCAGACAAACCAGTGATTGACATCATGAGCATTGATCCACGCAATTGGGATCAATGACATGTATCATCCAAGTCAGCGAGCCTGACCACCCGATCCCGTTAGTCGCCTCTGAGGACAAGCATAGTCGCCTTTAACGGCAAGTATGGGTTGCTGAAGAGCTATTCTACCCCGGATCATCACGTGTCTCTTGTGATGAGAGAAAAAAAACTACAAATCTTTCTTAAGCGTCCGAAAACACATAACATGGGGTTACTCATATACCCTATACTACGGTGTCTAGCATTTGCACTGCAAAAGATATTGCGAGACATATTATCATGATGATTATGTTGAACACAATCGCAGCAGCAGAGACATTATCATGATTGTCATTCAAGATAGGCCTGTATAGATTTAGAAATTGTAGTGTTATGATCCTACCTCACTCGTCTAAGATATTCGTTACCCGTTGTTGGGGGTATGTTAAGATCAAAATTATCATCAGTATCATCAACAGCAAACGCTTGTGGAATTATGTCATCGTCCGGAATATCTTCCTCTGTCTGCATCTTTGCTTGTATCAGCCGTCTGTGTCCACCTACTTTCAAGTTTCGTTCGTCAAAATAACGTGTTCTGGTTTCGAAAAGTTAAACTAGCACCTGCAAACGTGTTTCATATACGTTACAACTTGAAAGGGAATTATGATTATATTATGAAGGTTTATAAGACATAAGCCATGCAATTGAAAATATAAAACCATGAAAACAACAAAAAAGACAGATAATTCGTTTTAACATAATTGTGTTTAATTGTATCACGCAGTGGTTCGTATGAACAACGCATTGCATATTTTGTAATCCGTAGACGCTCTTCCGGAAAAAGTACTTCCGGTATATACAAGAGAGGGAGAAAGGAGAAACAAAATATTGTTTGTCTGAGTCTTGAACCATTTTGTAAGTATGCTGATGTGTAAGTGTCAAAGACCGTGAACAGTAGGCCACAGTCTATCGACCAAACACTGATTGATTTAGTTTGTCATGCTGGCTGTCAAGAGAAGCACCCCCAACAGCCCACCCCAGTAAATTTATTTTATCGCCGAGTACCCAATTCTCGAACGACACCTGTTTTCGAACTGTCATATATATTGTCTCGTTATAACGAGAGGTGGGATGTCAACAAGGCTGTCGCCACGAGAGTGCACACGTTCGGCCTGTCAACATTGGGTTCACGCACAGGACCATGTAACTAATAATAACTAACTCGCAGAAGAGTCGAAAATTTATGGCGAGTGTTTAATGAATATGATTATTATCATTATTATTATTAATAGATACATGGCCCTGTGGTTCATGTGAAGTATACTGTACACCTGTCAGAACAGTCTGTTGTCATTCAAAATTTTGGTGCCCGTGCCATGATGAAAAGGAAGAGTGGAATAGTGTGAACTTTATAATTTGACAAATATTCATATTTTATGACTAGGTTTCAAACTTTTAATCACTGTTTGAGTTTTAATGCCAACCTGCAAGAAGTATGTCGAGAATTGTGCGCCAAAAAACGTCTCTTCATTCATGGAAACCCTGCTAAAGTACCAAACAAATCAGGTGTTGGAAAATATGTGACATCACTCGAGTGCAGTGAAAGTTAACAGGCGGGGCAGTGGAGGTCATGCCTTTTATCATGTTTATTGAGAACTCTTCCTATATACCGGTAGCTGAATTCTATTGTTGAAGACATCACCTACCAGGGGTGCAGGCTAAAACGGCACCTCAGCAAAACGTCACCGATTTCTCTGGCGAAAACGGCACCGCATTTGGCGAAAACGGCTACTATGTGTCGGACGAAAACGGCACCTCTATTTTTAATAACGATAACAACGATTTTTGTGGTAATATATAGGGTTTATTTACATGGTATTTGATGTATAGAGTACATCTGAAGCCGTAATGTTAATTTCCGATAGGTTTGGTTCTTCAGCATCTTCTGACTGGAAACTGACATCAAAGTTACCGATCACCTCTTCAATGACGGGAGCAACGCATTTCACACAGCGGAAAGAGAAGTCTTCTTGAGTCCGGCAAATTTCTCTTTTACGGGCCACAGAAAGTCCGGTTCCACATACACAATGGGTCCACTGGTCACAGTTATCACGGGATACAGCATGTTGATTTTTTCAGACATTCCTCTTGCATGCAACACATCGAAAGGCCATTGTGAATAATTGTGATCTGACAGCACCATGTTAGGCCTTTTAAATACAGTTTCAGCTTAAATTGAGTAAAGGTACTTAAAACTTCAAAGCGTATAGTGTTTTCACAATAAGTTAAGCTAAGTTGGATTATAGTTGGAGCAGAGGCTAATTTCTAATGTAAACTTGTTTTAACATCTCACAATTATTGGCCTTTGCAAGTTACAATGTAAGTTTAATATCATTTATTTCACCAAGGTAAAAAATAAATAAGGTGCCGTTTTCGCTCGAGTCGAGGTGCCGTTTTCGCTCGATTCGAGGTGCCGTTTTCGCTTGAGTCGAGGTGCCGTTTTCGCCAATCGGTGCCTTTTTCGTCCGGTGCCGTTTTGCTGAGGTGCCGTTTTCGCTATAACCCACCTACCAGTATGAACACAAATTTAAGTTTTGATATATCAGCAATGTCACCTTACCTGTTCGTATGGGAGGATATATTATTATAATAATAACCTCTTGTTGTATATTTTGTTTTGTTCCAGGAACGTAATCAAGAAAGATGGGGAAAGAGAAAGGAGGTTTTTTAACTCCAAAAGCAATAGCCAATCGTATCAAAGCCAAAGGACTTCAGAAACTGCGATGGTATTGCCAGATGTGTCAGAAACAGTGCCGTGATGAGGTGAAACTAATGTGCTGTTGTTCATCGCTAAATTTAATCACAAGTTAATGTCAGGATATTTGTTTTGTATTTGTTTTTCATGATCACTCTCCTCCTCGGGGTAATCTGTGTAAGACTAGGTCCTATGTCATCATGTGCTTGTCTTGAATAAAGAGTTTACTACAGTGATTTTGACACAAAAAGCTGTATACAGGTCAATGACTTGGACCCAAGAAATGTAATAAGTAAGTGGCAAAAGTCAATAGGTCACTTAAACAAAGATGCCGGATGCAGTAAAATTTCGAAGTTAAGTCAGTACTTTTAAAAAGTCGGGCATAGCTTCCGCACACCAAGCTACCCGCCGGGTCTGGGAGCAATACTGCCATCAACTTCACCCCCCATCCCCCAGACACAAGGAAAACTGAGTCTCGATTGGCAAAATCGATGGCTCCAAAATAATCCTTACTATTTACTATTTAATCATGAAATTATGACACGTGTGATGCCTTGCTTAGCATTTCTATCGGTCAAAAGTCCGACAACTTAAACAAACCATCGGTCAAATAGAAAGTTTATCGGTCTATGACCGGTGACCGAGGGCCATCTGAAACCCTGTACTAAATGTAATATATTGTGCTTGGCATACTCAATCTCAATGTCATAACTTTGATAGTGAAGATTCTATATCTTTGTACACCTTCTTTCCAGAATGGCTTCAAGTGTCACATGATGTCAGAATCCCATCAAAGGCAGTTGCTGTTGTTTGCTGAAAACCCTGACAAATACCTTGATACATTTTCAAAGTAAGTTAATGCAAACATTTAAGGACTTAGTGTGGGATGACCATGATTAGATTTGAAACTTGTGTTCATGTTGTTTCAACTTTGTATGTAGTTACTTTAGAATTGTTTCTGAAATTATGTTAATAAATAACAAATGAAGTGTCTGAATACAAAAAAGTGCAAGAACAAAATTATCATGATCATTGGTCATAGTTAATTAATTTAAATCAACCCTGATTTGTCCTAGTTCTGTGATGTTTTGAAAAATAGTCTTTTTGTCATGTATACTCACATGTTCCCGAGGCAAGGGAGTTAACTGACTGTAAAAGTCCAGTTTCCACTCTGGCTGAACTAGGCCTCAATTTCTAGGTTCGATCGTAGTGCCACCAGTGGCTATTACAAGTTATTTCCCTTCTATGTCCCTCCTATGGACCAATCAGATTCCACCTCTCATATCACTTGCATTTGCTTCAAACAAAATGGCGGCGCCCATTGAAGACGATCTGATCGATAATCAAAATTGATATTGCAATAAAACGGGTCTTACTTCGTTAAGTGCATCAAATTAGGTGAGCGCCTTGATTAAAAACACGAAAATGTCTCTTGATGCTAAGTTGACGGTATACATGCTTTGACAATCCTGCAATTGACCAAAATCTGCACAGCAGTTTTTAAACTGGATGTCGTTTTTGCTTTCGATTTTGATTGGACTATGCATAGACTCGTTAGTCCAGCCAAATTATAACTACATAATTCCAGCCTAGTTCGGCAAGGGTGGAAACAGGACTGCTATAGTCGGTTAACTCCCTGGCCTCAGGAGGATGGTATACACAGCATCAGGAAACATTTACACTGTGACAACTTAAGATCAGTGATCAAATATAGCAACGTTCCTCAGCTTTCTTCGATTTCATTTAAGCTCACCTTACATTAGCTCATGTGAAAAGTGGGATGCAAATTATTATCCAAATGATATAGTATTACCAGTGCAAGAATGTGTTCTTATCTTAATGGATAAATTAAACATGGTAGGCATAGAACTTGGTAAGGAGGTTTTGTCACATGGTTATTTTGAATATTATATTATAGGGGTGTCACGATAAATCGAAATATCGATATATTGCTATTGGTAAGCTCTTAAAGTCAACAAATTGATTGTTAAATCAGTTTCTGATGAATAATATCAATTTCTGATAGGAATATCGATAGTTTCGATTGTATTTTCCATATCAATAAAATACATGCAATGCTGTTCAAAGTGGTAGTAATTTACATGTGGTAATGTGGAAGTTTCTTTTTCTTAAAGGGGAAGTGTACACGCAAAAGTTACTTTCTTTCTTTTTCTAAACAAAATGCAATTTTAGAATTAGTTAGTATCTGTGTTTGAAAATATACACTCATTTTCTCACAGTGAAAGTAGGAAGCTCACAATAGTGTGAAAATGATATGCCGTTATGAGGCCTTCGTTTTTCGAGCTAAACAGGCCTGAGTTATCCCCCTTAGATTATGACGTAATTGGTGCCAATTCAACTGGGTCCCTGTCTATTCTCAACGCAAAAGATATCAAGTACCAGTTTGCAGTAAAACAACATGGCCTACGACACACTCCGCCGCAGTGGTGACTCAGCATAACACTATGCTAGCTGGCATCTGAGACGCAAGAATCACACACCTGTACCTACACCACGTGAAGCGGCTCTAACAAAGCATGATGACGTCATAATGTTTATCAATTGGCACCAATGACGTCATATTGCAAGGGGCATAAGCCATGGTGTTTTTGTTGTGGAAATAGAACACTTGGTAAATGTGAAAAATATAAATAGCTTTAATGCGAAAATTATGTTGATTAATTGTGATATTTTTATATTTTTGTCTATGACACTTCTAGGTTAACACTTTTAATGTGGAAAAAGTACAAGAAAAATAGGTTCATTTCCGTGTGAACTTGCCCTTTAAACTATTACGGTACAAAAAAACAAATCAGTCATATCTCAAACTTTACTTTTTATTTGTTGTTATGGTTATCACAGTCAAAGGAAACTTCAGTTCCAAGGTTTAATTCAATTCTAAAATCCATCTAAAACGATACACTGAAAACTATCAATGTTTATCGCAATAGTTGCTTGCAATATCAATAGTTATCGCAGTAGTTTTTCAATATCAATAGTAATCGCAATAGTGATTTCCAGACCAAAAGTCACCCCTATTATATAACATGATTGTTTCTGAGTGCATGTTTACATAAAATCTGTTAACAACTGGGTGGTGGTTCTTAGTTTTTGTGGGGGCACGGGTGGCCCAGTCATCTAAGGCGCCGCGATTCGCTGTGCAGAGTTGCGTCCCTTGGGCACGCCAGAAACCTATGATTGTGTGTTCGAATCCCGGTTCGCCCCGATTATGTTTCTAGGTTTGTCAGCACCATACCCGTGCTCGTGGGTTTCACCGAAGTGGTAAATGTCTGAGACCTGCATCACTCCGGTCTTTCCTCCCACATCAAGCTGACACGCCGCAATATAACTGGAATACTGTTAAAAGCGGCGTTAAACCCAACTCATTCACTCACTCTTAGTTTTTGTTTAACATGTTTAATTTTTGATAAATTGTAGACAAAACTTTGTTTTAGTCTGTTTTCAGTCGTACAATTGGGTATCTCATACCTCTAGTCGCTCGTTAAAAGGAAGCCAGAGGCTGGAATGTAAACAATAAACTTGTTTCCGTCCGGTTGCGCACGCACCTCCCGATGACATGCCACAAATCTCTCAGCGCGCCTCTGAGCTGGTCGCTCGAGAAGGACTTTCGCGATATTCTACTAGTACTTATCGTGTGTCTACAGTTGTTGTTCTAATAAAGTAATGATAATATGTCTTCCCTGTAGACTCCTGGAATGTAATCCTTGGTAATCCATTTTTGTGTTCAACACGTGTTTCACTGTTCACTTGATTATACATGTGGCAACATGTCGGGCATTTGTGCCTCGTGTCAACGAAAACTGTCTAAAGTAGATCCTCACAAGTATTGTCCTTCCTGCATAATTAAGGACGGGTTTTCAACGTGTTCGTGGGATAAACGTTGTAAAGAATGTGAGCACTTGTCTTCTATCAACTTTAACTTGTATCTTCGTGCGTTGGTGAAGCGGGCTACTGACCAGCGCTACAAGCAGAGAAGGTGGATCCTTGGACTCTGCACCCTCTACATCTGGCCCTGGGGGTGGCGCGTCGGCCACACCCAAGAAATCAGTTGATAAAGACCCGCCTCAGTCAACTTATGTTTTCGACAAGACACATGACCGTTCGCCTGCTGATGATACTTCCCGCACGACTGATCTTCGTCAATCGGTTGATCGAGAGCGTCACTCAGCCACCCCTGTTACGACGGGACCGGGTGGTGACGAGGACCACGGGGGGACTACGGTCCCCAGTCGGTCCGTCTCTCGTCCTACCAACGACGATAGGAACGTCGTGCGGGTTGACAGTGAACACAGATCCCTCTCTAGAAGTCGTTCCCGTTCACGGGACGACAGGTCGAGGGCCTCGTCGAGAGACAGTAAACGACACAAGGACGTTCGTCGCCTTCGTGGACGTCGTGAGTTCGTTTCGGACGATAACTACGATGGGGATCGTAGTACTTCTACAGTTAGAGATCGTAGCCCTCGCCCCCACGGGGACGTGCGACGCTCTCGAAGGGAGTTTTTTGGAGATCAGCGTCGTAGAGCCGATGACCGATCGACACCCTCGTCTCACTTTCCTATTGACCCGACTTTGATAGCCCAGATCACGGCGGCGGTACTCGCCTCGACGGCGTCGACCAAGAAGGATTCGACTACGTCGGAGGTCCATAGACCATCGACCAGTACACCAGTTCCTTCATCTACGCCTCCACAATCGACGTCGAAGATGGATTGTGACGACAGCCCTCCTAGGCCTCCCACAGACATTAAGTTGTTTGCTTGGCTATCTAACTTTCTGCCTGAGTTATCAAATGATGTCGACAAACCGACGCGTCCTGGCTTTAAGGTCGGTGCTACGCCACAGTCTCTTCAGTTTTCACCTCCCGATGTCTTCAGAGCCATGGCTCACGATATGGACCAGAACTTTGCCTCTGCTCTACCGGGACAGAGTTTCAACCAGCCGCCTGGTCGATCTAGTTACCCGATTTATGGCATGCCGTTTTCGTCACCCATGAGTAGGGACTTGGATTGGGGGCTACTCTTCAAGACACCAGCGCCCTCCAAGATTCTCGTAGAAGACAGGCATTTGGAATCCATGGACACTGCTGTTCGTCACCAGCTACAACCGCTTGCTATGCTGTCGACGGCGATCGAGGCCCTCTCAGTGTACTTTGAGGAGAAAGACCCCCTCGACGAGGACGGCAGGACGGTGCCATCAATCCTCACCTGTATGCAACGGTGGATCTCGGACGTCCTCGCCCAATCTCGATATGTATCGGGCCAGATTACTACGGCACGTCGTCATGGTTACATCGCCTGCACTGAACTACCTGATCTTGATGGCAGGACACTCTTACGGGCCCCGTGGTCATCGCAACAGTTGTTTGACGGTCGTACCAACGACGTTCTGGACAAGTACTCCAAGGAAGCCGAGCGTGACATCATCATTTCGGCTTCACACAGCATGTCCAGGCGGCCACCGGTTTCGAACGCCCCACGACGCCGTTATAGAAACGAGCATGTGCAACAGGCCTTTCGTAGGGACACGCCTGGACAGCCGTCCCACGAGAGAGATGCGGACAGAAAAGGTCGCCAGGTTACCTTTTCCACGTATCAGAAGGGGGACAGAGCCAGCGGGGGCAGAAGTGAGGATCCTTAGACATGGGCGTACGCGCCCGTATCATCCCGGGGGCCTAGAATGTGATAGTCGACGCCCTGTCGAGACCATCGAGGCCGTCTCCCACGGAGTGGATGATCCACCCGACAGTTTTTCATCTGCTGACAGATTGACTCTGGTTGCCTCAAGTAGATCTCCTCGCTGGTTACAATAAAAACTGTTGGTGAATGTACGCATTCTTCTGGTTTTTTGTTGTATGCAGTACTTCGGCTGTTTTATTATGGTTATTCGGTGTATGCATCGTCTTCCCATACTTTAAAGTACGGCTCGTATTTTTTAGTTACCTTGTATACTGCGAGTTGCTCTGTAACTAAATTATGCGCCGACCACACTTCGATCGCAATTCAACTGACGTGTGCAGTTGTCTTGTCGCATCGATAATTAGTTGTGTGTCGAAGAGCATTAACCATGCTAGTTTTCGTTACCTTGGATACAACGAGTCGTTCTGTAACTACATTATAAGCCGACCACACTTCGATCGCAATTCAACTGACGTGTGCAGTTGTCCTGTCACATCGATACTTACTTGTGGGTCGAAGAGCATTAAACATGCAGTTTTAGTTACCTTGGATACGACGAGTCGTTCTGAAACTAAATTATAAACCGTCCACACTTCGATTGCAATTCAACTGTCGTGTGCAGTTGCCTTGTCGCATCGATACTTACTTGTGGGTCGAAGAGCATTAAAGATGCTGTTTTAGTTACCTTGCCTACGACGAGTCATTCTGTAACTACATTATAAGCCGACCACGTTTCGATCGCACCTCAACTGACGTGTGCAGTTGTCCTGTCGCATCAATAATTAGTAGTGTGTCGAAGAGCATTAAACATGCTGTTTTAGTTACCTTGCCTACGACGAGTCATTCTGTAACTACATTATAAGCCGACCACGTTTCGATCGCACCTCAACTGACGTGTGCAGTTGTCCTGTCGCATCGATACTTACTTGTGGGTCGAAGAGCATTAAACATGCAGTTTTAGTTACCTTGGATACGACGAGTCGTTCTGAAACTAAATTATATGCCGTCCACACTTCGATTGCAATTCAACTGTCGTGTGCAGTTGCCTTGTCGCATCGATACTTACTTGTGGGTCAAAGAGCATTAAAGATGCTGTTTAGTTACCTTGTATACTGCGAGTTGCTCTGTAACTAAACTATACGTCGACCACTTCGATCGCCGTTCAACTGACGCGTGCAGTTGTCCTGTCGCATCGATAATAAGTAGTGTGTCGATGAGCATTACCCATGCTGTGCGTTCGTGATAAACAATTTGTCTCGTCCGTGCATCTGGTCGAATGTTCTATTGTCACTACGGGGGTGAGGAACTTGGTACATTCGACGTGCAAGAGGTCACTTCCGGATTACTTTCCAGACCCTCCTTCCAGTGTTCCATCGAATTCTACCCAATTGTACGACTGAAAACAGACTAAAACATGGGTTTTTCAGATTAAAAACGATATATTATTGGTCTGTTTTCAGTCGTACGTTCCCACCAAGCCATCACCACTGGGAAGTAATCCAGTCCAGTCCTGCTTGATGGCTTATTCTTCGAGATTTGTGGCATGTCATCGGGAGGTGCGTGCGCAACCGGACGGAAACAAGTTTATTGTTTACATTCCAGCCTCTGGCTTCCTTTTAACGAGCGACTAGAGGTATGAGATACCCAATTGTACGACTGAAAACAGACCAATAAAACATCGTTTTTAATCTGAAAAACCCATTTTTCACTCCCTCATTGAAGTGTTACATATTCTTAAATGAGGTGAGCTTCTGTACCGATGGTATCCTGTTTAGTGTCATTATATATTCATTTTTGTTATACCGCCTCTGTGGTCTAGTGGTAGAGCGTCCGCCCGGAGAGCGGAAGGTCCGGGGTTCGATCCCTGGCCGCGTCGTACCAAAAGACGTTAAAAGATGGTACTTGTTGTTACCCTGTCTGGCGCTCGGCATTAAGGGGCTAAAACAAGGACTGGTCGGCTCGGAGTCAGTATACTGTGTCTGAGTGGCATATTCATGTTAAACTGCGGCATGGTATCTCGGTGAGCTAGCACTATAAATCGGCATCAGTCCGGACTAGTACAAGCAGCCACACACACACTCACATGCACGTCGCTATATAAGTGCAATAATCTTGGACGCGACGTTAAACCCCATTTCACCTCACCTCACCTCATTTTTGTTATTGTCTTCCAGAGATTTTCAGGATGGGTACTTGGAACTATTGCGGCGGAGATTCGGAACCAAGCGAGTCCATGCCAATATAGTGTACCAGGAATACATCGCAGATCGGGAACACGTCCGCATGAACTCCACCATGTGGGAAACTCTCACAGAATTTGTCAAGTGGTTGGGGAAAGAAGGTGAGTCTCTTTGATTTTTTTATATCAGAGTTTTTAACATGTTTTCTTTAAGATTTGTGCTAAGCATGTTTTTGTTGTTGCTGGGAATGTATTGATTGAAAACAATTTTTCTTCTGGACAATTATCACATTGTTCAAGGCAAACATTACGACTAATATGTGTTAAAGGAATCTTTAAAAGATTATTTAGATGTGCGTTATTACCAGTATACCACAATATTAAATACTCCCACCCAGTGAAGTTCCAGGTAGAGAATAGGTCTTCAGCAACCCATGCTTGCCGTGAGATATGACAATGCTTGTCGCAAGAGGCGACTAACAGGATCAGGTGGTCAGGCTCGCTGACTTGGTTGATGCATGAACCCATGCTTGCTGTAAGAGATGACTATGCTTGTCGCAAGGGGCAACAAATGGGATCGTGTGGTCAGGCTCGCTGACTTGGTTGATGCAGGTAGATGCTTATGATGTCAATCACTGGATTGTCTGGTGCAGACTTGATTATTTACAGACTGCTGTAGTATGTCTGGAATATTGTTGAGTACAGCGTTAAACAACAAACAAACAAATAAACTACCGTAATGAATGCATGTCACAATATGCATGGGAAATACTGGTCTATTGCGTTTTCATTATCATGCATTTATTCATCTTGTTGGCAAAGTTTATGTAATTCACAAGTCAAATTTAAATTATAAAATTCACTAAATTAGCTACGGATCCCTGAAAAAAAACTGATCTAAAAAGCAAAACTATTCACGACCAGCCTCCTGTATAAAATGTGTCTAGTATGCATGCATTGTGACCTTAGCAACATCAAAATGACTGACAACTATGAAGTTGTCAAAAAGTTGGAGGGAAGTAATTTTAGAAATTTGTCCATGGCAGTAAGATGGACTTTGGTTCTGTGAGGGTAGGGTTCGGTTCCGGAGCATAACTCATAAACCTTTCAATATTTTTTCATCAAACTTTGCAGGTTTGTCAGGTACATGCTGAACTGGTGCCTTTTGCTATTTTTTTTTTAACGTTTCCATGGCAGCAAGATGGACTTAGGTTCCAAACTCTTCTTTTTTTTACAATTTCCATGACAAGTTCCAACTCGGTTAAAAAAGCTTAGGGTTTGTTTAGATTTAATTATGTCATAAATTCTGCGGGGGATATAGTCCGTGTTGGACCAAGTCATTTCCGTTAATTTTATTCAGGTTCATAACAGATTACAGATAAAAGAATGCATGCAATATTTTGTGGTACATATCACAGGTCACAAATTATTATTGAAATAGTGAGGGAGTGAGTTGGGTTTAACTCCACTTTTAACAGTATTCCAGTTATATCACGGCGTGTCAGCTTAATGTGGGAGGAAAGCCCGAAGTGATGCAGGTCTCAGACGTTTACCACTTCGGTGAAACCCACGAGCACGGGTATGGTTCTGACAAACCTAGAAACATAATCGGGGCCAACCGGGATTCAAACCCACAATCATCGGTTTCTGGCATCCCCAAGGGACGCAACTCTGCAGTATGAAAGTCAGGTCAGCACCCATCACTGTGTATCATCTATGTGTGATGTCATTTATCATGACAATCAATGTTTGTTGTTTATTGTTTATCCCCAGACACAGCAATATTCCAGCTATGTGACGGAGGCCTGTAAATAATCAAATCTGGACCAGACAATCCAGTGAGCGATGATTTGTGCCTTCGTGGTACGATGCAATGAACCAAGTTACAGAGTATAACCACCTGGGCTCTCTTGCACAAAGCGATCTTAGCGCTACGACTATTGTAAGCCTATGTTAAAGTATAGGAGTTACGATCATCTTAGCCCTAAGATCGCTGCAGTGGGCCCTGATCTATAGTAGTGTTTAGCCGTGCTCTTACTCACTGAGTGAGAGAGCATTGGTGGTCCAGTTGTCTAAGGCAACACATTTCTCTGCAGAGTTGCCTCCCTTAGTCATGCCAGGATCTCATAAATGTGAGTGCAAATCTGGGATTCACCTAGCTTGTTTGGCAGCACCACACCCATTCTCATGTGTTTAAAAGTTGTAACCGACTAAGACTAGTAAGAGCTTTCCTCCCATATAAAAACAGACAAGCCGTAATACAACTGAAAGATAGTTTGAAGGGTAGTTTAGCCCAACTTACTCACACTCATTCCCACATTGGTTGGGTTTGGTTTGTTTGTTGTTTAACGTTACACTCAGCAATATTCCAGCTATATGACAGCAGTCTGTAAATAATCGAGGCTGGAGTCAGGACCAGACAGTACAGTGATTGATATCATGAGCATCGATCCACGCAATTGGGATCGATGACATGCATCAACCAAGTCAGCGAGTCTGACCACCCGATCCCGTTAGTCGCCTCTTACAACAAGCAAAGTCACCTTTCACAGCAAGCATGGGTTGCTGAAGACCTATTCTACCCCGGATCTTCATGTTTGTTGGGCTGTGTATTGTATAAACATTGTATGGCAATACAGGTAGCTATACCGCAATATTTTTGGAGCTCCTGTAAAGTTTCACAGTGATTGCAAATGCAGTCCTATTTTCTAGATACTGAAGTAAATATTACTCTGCATGGTCAGTCACCGCCATTTTGAAGTCAAGGGGAGATAACAACATGAGAGAAATAGAGAATCTCACCCGAGCGTCTTTTGATATAAAAAATATCAACACAAGTTGATAAAAGAGGAAAAGCTCCAAGGCTTGCCGAGGAGTTTTCCATATTTATCAATGTGTGTTGATATATTTGATATCAAAAGACACTCGGGTGAGATTATATTTATCATCCAACACCATTCTTCCAACTTTTTCAGTGGACAGTAATTAGCAATGTCTTAAGTGTAAAATGTACTGCTAACAGCTTCAGTAACCAATGATGTCACAATGGTCTCCAAAGCATTGTGATGCAATTTCATTGCAGCGATATGTACAGTGTAGATATCACTTGATTTCACCCATTCCATATCTCTTGTGGGAGCCAGTTTTGGATGATAAAAAGCACTTCCATGTTTATGCAGTTTTCTTTATCAATTTCAAGGAAAACATCATTGGTGGATGAGTTTCTGTGTAGATTTTAGATTAAATGATACAAACATTAAGATAACTTGTTATATTTTTTAAACTCAATGTACTGGAACACAGAAACAAATATTGCAATACGTAACATTTGAAAAGCCTATTGCAGTTTACTGGTATACCATGCAGTATTATACATCCTCTGTTTCTTAGAGAATCATATCATGTTCATTTAACAATTGACCTTCACTTTGTGTGAGTTCATTGGAGTATGAACCTTCATAGAGTGAGGGCCAAACTGTAGGAATGCTTGCGACAACGTTCATACAATGTTTGGCCCTCACTCTATGAAGGTTCATACTCCAATGGGGGCGGTCAGGTAGCCTAGTGGTTAAAGCGTTCGCTCGTCACGCCGAAGACCCGGGTTCGATTCCCGACATGGGTACAATGTGTGAAGCCCATTTCTGGTGTCCCCCGCCATGATATTGCTGGAATATTGCTTAAAGCAGCGTAAAACCATACTCACTCACTCACTCACTCACCCATACTCCAATGAACTCACACAAAGTGAAAGTCAATTCTTATAATTTTTATCACAATATCTTACCTCAAAGGATGTAGGCCAAGATCTATACACAGTTTTATTTAGTACGTGTGACTTCTTGTTTACATTGACAGCCATACAACCAGCTACATCGGGGAATAAAATAGTTCCTCAAAAAGAGAGGTGACATGAGCGTATGGATGCACAACATGCTCTTCAGAAACATCTTACGCAACACATGTGTTCAAATAATATCGCCATTAGATGAGAAAGGTCTGTAAAGAACTACCTCAGTAAGTCAGTCACAATGACAGCGCGTCGTAATACATTTACATCAAGTACAAGACGTCAAAATGGCCGACACGATAAACGTAATGGGCGAGATTTCCGAAGTTGTTAATGAACCTGTGGCGGTTACATGTGTTAGTCATCATTGATCAACTGACCGATCATTTAAAGGTGAATAAAGATGCGTCAAACAGACACTAAGGTAAATTGTAAACCTATAGAAAGTGTGTTCTGTGTTGTGATTGGCTAATTTTGGGTCACATGACCAAATGTCAAAGGGTGAAAATATGATTTGAATTCCCTGAAGCAAGCGACCGAATCACTGTGTAGGAAATAGAGATTACTACACGAATGTCTTTCAGATACCATTGATCTTACGAGTTGTTTCAAAGCGTATCTAACGAGCGAAGCAAGTTAAATACGCTTTGTAACAACGAGTTGTAAGATCAATGGTATTTGACAGGCACAAGTGCAGTAATCTGTTTCTTTCACACCCCAAAATAGCACCTTTTTAGCATCGAACCGATGAATTTGTCATGATTGCAGTAGCACATTATACACGACACCACGGCTAAGGCGCCGCGATTCGCTGTGCAGAGTTGCGGCCCTTGGGCACACCAGAAACCTATGATTGTGGGTTCGAATCCCGGTTCACCCCAATTATGTTTCTAGGTTTGTCAGCACCATACCCGTGCTCGTGGGTTTCACCGAAGTGGTAAACGTCTGAGACCTGCATCACTTGGGGCTTTCCTCCTACATTAAGCTGACACGCCGTGATATAACTGGAATACTGTTAAAAGCGGCGTTAAACCCAACTCACTCACTCACACGACACCACTGTCATAAGTGAATATCCTATGTGCTGCTTACTACTCATAAATAATGTCACCCGACACAAAAAGGTCCGTCATATCTGGATTATCAAGGCAATGATGAAAATGCAAACTAGACCAAAACAAAGAACACGCTGGGTGCCAAGTTGAAAGTTTACACCTCAAAGAAATTACCAAATATGTACAACAATATTTACTTCCGTATGACATCACTGCCGGTGACCGACTTTTACAAAAGGGCGTGTTAACTGACAGCAGTACGCGGGATTTCCAGAGGAGGATTTTCATTGATTGAGGGATCGTACACACATAAATGGGTCACGTAAGTAATCAGAAGCATTCTGACAATCTGCGTACTGTTATTTGTTTACCATGTTTTCCAATGTAACAAAAAAGAATTAGTCAGACATGCAGATAACTACCTTCATCGTTGTGCGTGATTTAGCGTCAGTCATGGCGCCACACAGGACGGAAACTTTTGTAAACGGCTTCTGTTGAATTTACCACATCATTGTAATGTATATATGTGTATTCCCATAATTAGTGCAACGATACTCTTCCCATGAATATTCTCAAACGCGTGATCGAGCCAATGTATGCAACAATTAGACGAAAGTACCTCTAAAAATGCTACACAGTGTAAAATCTGAATTTTGCTTTGTTTACATTTCAGCAAGTACAGTTTTCCGAGCAGTTTTCCGTTTTCGTTTCCATAAATAACTTATTTCGCATGATTTCATCTAGATAATTTGCATTGGTGACAAAGACCATTTATCCATTGTTTCGAAAATGTATGAGGAATTCAGGGATGCATGTAGACTCTATAGCATTAAATATTAAAATAAATCTGATCGAATAGGTGTCTCATAACCGGCATTTTGTAAACACAATCCAATGTGGCGGAACATACACTTCAGCGTTCCTGTATGCGTATTTTCCAAAACTTTCTAAACGATTCTAGGCTTCTCAGCGACGTTTCAGAATTATCATTAGTGATTTGATACCCGTGATCGCTAATATGCTAATTTTCTACTTTGATTATTCAAGTAAATATCCGATATTTAGATTTCTAAACACACAGTAAATATTTATATAACGCCGTGAATTGTGATTTGGCAAGATTTACAAGATCTTGGAAATTTTCATTCGAGCCCCTCAAGCTAACGCTTTCGGGTCTCGAGATGAATTTCCAAGATGCAAATACTTGATAAAATCCCGGAAATAGACACACACATAGTATTTATCTTCTAATTCACAGATTGCTGGAGACAGTCAATGTCAGCCTAGACACGTATCGAGTCGATACTGACGATAGTTTGGATGTGCATTTCTGCGTTTGTTCATTAAGATGGGCTGTAGCGAGGATATTCGTCAACAATCATACAGTCAAGCTATTTTACGTTTCTCAATGTATACTGAAACGCTGAGGCCAAGGTTAAAGGTTCTAAATGATCAGAAAAAGCTTATGTATGTTTTCGTGCTAGGGAATTCCAAGGGGTTTCCCCAGGAATGTGGAAGTAGTCCGTCAGTGTTTACGTCATTTCAAGAACACGGCCTCGTTAAAAACGTATGAACATCAAATTGTGTCGTTCATACACTTATGAACGTCAATTTCGCGATCATGTGACCGACCTCTCGTCCAATGGAAAAGCCGTATATCCTGTAAATGTCAAATTAAAAAATTATTAAGAAATGAATCCTTGTGACATTTCTAACTGCTTCCACATTATCGTGTATTCTGTACTACGGGCCTATGGCCTTACAGTTATATAGGAATAAACTGAATTGATACACGGGTTAAATGATTTCCAAAGGTTTAGGTCCACCCTGTGTGTTGCAGGCGAGTGTGTGGTGGACTACACGGAGAAGGGCTGGTTTGTCCAGTACATTGACCGGGACCCCGAGACCATCCGGAGGCAGGAGGCCACCAAGGCCAAGGAGAAGATGGACATGGATGATGAGGAAAGAACCGCCAAATTTATCAAGCAACAGATTTCACGAGCATCTCAGTCCGATACAAAGTCCCACAATCCTGAGTTCACGGAACTGAAACGAGAAGATGAAGAAGAAAAGGGTAGGGTTACATTTAAGGCTGTCAGCATAAACCACAGAATTTATCTTTTAACTTGTTTCTTTCACTAAAATAATACTCTAATAAGAGCCCCCTATTTCTAATTTTGAGAGCACCCTGGGCGCTTATTACGTCGAATACGGTATTGCTATTTACATCATTATTCATACATCATCATCATCATCCCTGCTACACTCCGGACACCAGTGTTAGAAGTACCAATTAAGACTTAATGCATTCAACATAATAAAAATTAAAAACGCGGATGCTTATTAAAGCCATACACTACAATGTCAGAGATTGAGAGGAGAGAAAAATCTTAGTTACATTTTTTGGCAATATTAAGTTACAAGACAATGAGATTGACAGTTTTAATATTATTTCCCATTACGGTAGGCATTTATAAGGTGCAGTCATTAATATTGTCATGTGCAATTTTCCGGAATTAGCATATTGACATATGACATATGTTTTACATTTACTGCTATGCACTATAGGAGATTCACGGCCCACATAATTTCCTGGTACTTCAGTGATTGCTTATTACAAATATCGAAATAAATATAAGCTGAGCTTATCAGACTGAAAGAAATGTTAGTAGACCCAGACTTGAGACAAGTGACTGAGGTTGCAGACTGTCTCCATCTACCATCTTCCCGAGGCAAGAGAGTTAACTTACTTTAAATGTCCAGTTTCCACCCTTGCCAAACTAGGCTGGTATTATGGAGTTAAAGTTTGGCTGGACTAACGAGTCTATGTATAGTCCAATCAAAATCGCGTAACGAAATTGAAATCCAGTTTGTAAACTGTCGTGCAGATTTCGGTCGATTGCAGGATTTGCAAAGAATGTGCACCGCCAACTCGGCGTCAGTAGATATTTTCAAAATGTTTTCATGTTTTTAATCAATGTGCTCACGTGATTTGATGCACTTTGCGATGTAAGACCCGTTTTGTCACAATATAGATCTTGATTATTCAACAGATAGTCTTGACTGGGCGTCACCATTTTGTTTCCAGCAAATGCAAGTCATACAAGAGGTGGAATCTGATTGGCCAATAGGAGAGGCATAGAAGGGACACAACTAGTTATAACCACTGGTTGCACTACGATCGAGCCCAGAAATTCGAGTCTAGTTCGGCAAGAACTTTTATAGTCAGTTAACTCCCTTGCCTCGGAAAGATGCCATCTACTGAATGCAACAGATTTGATAAACTAGCTGTTTCTTTCACTTCAGTTACCTTTAGTCTGGACTCTGGAGCTAAGAAGACAGAAGACACAACGTTCAAGTAAGTTCACCATGTTTATCCGACTGATAGAATCTCCTGCATTTTCATGCATCATTACAAACTCAGTCACATGATAATAAGGCTATGTAACATGAAAACAATTGGTTCTCAGACAATGCCGTTAGTTTGGTCATTTCATAGCATTGAGATGGCCTAAGATTGTGAGAGTCAGTCAGTGCACTGATTACAGGGCACTGTGCCCGCACAACGGCAACATTTCTGGTGCAACCTTTCAGTATCTTCCCTCCACGTTGCTTCAATGTCAGGCAATGGCAGGGTTTACACAAAGTTCATTCACAGAGAAGGGCACATTTGACCCGTGAGTTATGAAGGCATTATTATCCCCCACCACCATGTGGAAGGGGGATATAGGAATGGGGTGCTGTCCGTCCATCCGTCACGTTTCCGGAGCCGAATTAAAAAAACATGAGAGATATCTTAACCAAACTTGGCACATAGATGGGTCTAGTGGTGAACTGGTGCCTTTTAATAGTTTGGGATTATAAAAAAAAATCTATTTTTGGTGTTTCCATGGCAACAACTTTGACTATTGCTTTTTTCCAGAGCTGATCATGAAAACCGTATAATAATTCTTCACCAAACTTGCCACATAGATAGGTCTAGTGGTAAACAGGTGCCATTCGATAGTTTGGGATTTTTTAAAAAAAATTGTTTTTTGAGTTTCCATAGCAGCAACTTTGACTTAGGCAGAAAATGGTGGTAGTGCTCGTTTCTGGAGGGCTTATGCCTTGCACACATCCGGATGTCATATTGGCAGGGAATATGAGTAATTCATGCTTGTTTCATTAGCTGACTGAAAATACCCATGCCACTACTAGTACTAAACTGCAGTGATAGGGGTTTGTTGGTTGGTTTGTTGTTTAATGCCGCACTCAGCAATATTCCAGCTATATGACGGTGGTCTGAAAAATAATTGAGTCTTGGTCAGACAATCCAGTGATTGATATCATGAGCATCGATCCACGCAAATGGGATCAATGACATGCATCAACCAAGTCAGCGAGCCTGACCACCCGATCCCGTTAGTCGCCTCTTACAAGAAGCATAGTCACCTTTTACGGCAAGCATGGGTCGCTGAACACCTACTCTACCCCGGATATCACGGGTCCAGTGATAGGGATAATGGAGGACAGTAGTCGGAAGTACTGATGATGTCACAATATTGTCCCCAGAACCCTGTTGGTCATGTGGAATGTCATTCCTGATGCTGGAATTGATTCTGTGATGCAGGAAGCCCACAGGCAACCCTCTGAAGAAAGTGGACAGCAAGTCAGTGTTTGGGAAGGGGGAGAGCTCACGGCAGGAGGGGAAGATGGAGACAGGAGCAGAGATGAGGGGGCAGAAACGGAAAAGTGCCCTGGGTGAAATTATGGAGGTCAGTACACAGAGGGCACAGACAAGGTTTTTCTTGTGTTGAAAATGCACTCAAAACCATGTCATATCCATGCCTAAAACGCCTGGCATTGTTTGAGATTTTTAACCAAGGGTAGGTAACTCTAATTTGCCAACCCAAGAGCAAAATGGTAGCAAGCTTTTAAGCTTTTTTGACCAATATTGTTATTCTTGGGCAAACATTTACGTCATCGCATCATAATAGGCCGTATGTTTTACCATATATTTTACCAATTTTATTTGATATATTTTTATGTTAACTGGGCATATATATAGCCTGTGAAATAGGCATGATTGGTGGAAGGACAACCTACTTTTATTATGTTTCTTGTCTCAAACGTATGTCCATGTTGAACTGTATAGACCCAAGTTGTTGTGTCTGTTTTGTTCTCGGGGGCACGGGTGGCCCAGTTGTCTAAGGTGCCTCGATTAGCTGTGCAGAGTTGCGTCCCCTGGGCACGCCAAAAACCTATGATTGTGGTTTCGAATCCTGGTTCGCCCGATTATGTTTCTAGGTTTGTCAGCACCATACCTGTGCTCGTGGGTTTCACCGAAGTGGTAAACGTCTGAGACCTGCATCACTTTGGGCTTTCCTCCCACATTAAGCTGACACGCCTGGAATACTGTTAAAAGCGGCGTTAAACCCAACTCACTCACTGTCTTGTTCTCAGTTCGAGGAGAAGAAGAGGGAGAAGGTCAACCGGAAGGATTACTGGCTCCAGAAGGGTATTGTCATCAAAATTGTGTCCAAGAAACTAGGGGACAAGTTCTACAAGAAGAAGGCCTATGTAAAAGTAAGAGAAGTGCTGTAGCTTGTTGCTGATAGCCTCCGTGGTCTAGTGGTAGAGTGCCTGCCTGTAGAGCAGAATGTCAGGTGTTCGATGTCTGGCAGGGTCATACCAAAAGACAGTAAAAGATGGTACTTGTTGTTACCCTGCCTGGCACTCAGCATTGAGGGGTTAAAACAAGGACTGGTCAGCTCGAAGTCAGTATACTGTGACTGAGTGGGATATTCATGTTAAACTGTGGCATGGTATCTCAGTGGGTAGCACTATAAAATCGGCATTAGTCTGGACTAGTACAAGCAGCCACACACACACATACACGTCCATACACGTCACAATATATGTGCAATAATCTTAAAACCCATTTCACCTAACCAGACCTGTTGTGGATAGAATCATGTCCTCTTAGCTGAACAGTAGTTTGACTAGAATCACATCCTGAAAATAATTACTCCATAAAAAACTAAGGCGAAAGCTTCATTACTCAAGCAGGCTGAAAGCACTCAAAAGGGTTACCTGTCTCGGATGAATGTGAGCTAGACCCAGGAATAGCTGTACAATATCAACCTGTAATGTCTTGTAGCTGATACATGGTTTTTCACTATATTGAACTAGCCAGCAGTTCATTTTCAGTGCTACAGCTCTATTCTTGAACAAGTCAGTATTTGATGAATTTGTTACTTTACATAATTTACTCATTGTATTGTATGACTTTGCAAGTAAATATGAAGCCAAGACATATATGCCAATGTTCCAGGAAGTGAAGGACTTGTACACCGGGATCATCAAGACACTGGACTCAGGCGACACCATCAAGGTGGACCAGACACATGTGGAGACGGTTATACCTGCTATAGGTAATGTCATCGTTACTCTATACCAGCTATAGGTAATGTCATCGTTATTCTATACCTGCTATAGGTAATGTCATTGTTACTCTATACCAGCTATAGGTAATGTCATCGTTATTCTATACCAGCTATAGGTAATGTCATCGTTACTCTATACCAGCTATAGGTAATGTCATTGTTACTCTATACCTGCTATAGGTAATGTCATCTTTACTCTATACCTGCTATAGGTAATGTCATTGTTACTCTATACCAGCTATAGGTAATGTCATCGTTATTCTATACCAGCTATAGGTAATGTCATCGTTACTCTATACCAGCTATAGGTAATGTCATCGTTACTCTATACCTGCTATAGGTAATGTCATCGTTACTCTATACCAGCTATAGGTAATGTCATCGTTACTCTATACCAGCTATAGGTAATGTCATCTTTAGTCTATACCAGCTATAGGTAATGTCATCTTTAGTCTATACCAGCTATAGGTAATGTCATCGTTCCTCTATACCAGCTATAGGTAATGTCATCGTTACTCTATACCTGCTATAGGTAATGTCATCGTTACTCTATACCAGCTATAGGTAATGTCATCTTTAGTCTATACCAGCTATAGGTAATGTCATCGTTACTCTATACCAGCTATAGGTAATGTCATCGTTACTCTATACCAGCTATAGGTAATGTCATCGTTACTCTATACCTGCTATAGGTAATGTCATCGTTACTCTATACCTGCTATAGGTAATGTCATCGTTACTCTATACCTGCTATAGGTAATGTCATCGTTACTCTATACCAGCTATAGGTAATGTCATTGTTACTCTATACCTGCTATAGGTAATGTCATCGTTACTCTATACCAGCTATAGGTAATGTCATTGTTACTCTATACCTGCTATAGGTAATGTCATCGTTACTCTATACCAGCTATAGGTAATGTCATCGTTACTCTATACCAGCTATAGGTAATGTCATCGTTACTCTATACCTGCTATAGGTAATGTCATCGTTACTCTATACCAGCTATAGGTAATGTCATTGTTACTCTATACCTGCTATAGGTAATGTCATCGTTACTCTATACCTGCTATAGGTAATGTCATCTTTAGTCTATACCAGCTATAGGTAATGTCATCATTACTCTATACCAGCTATAGGTAATGTCATCGTTACTCTATACCTGCTATAGGTAATGTCATCGTTACTCTATACCAGCTATAGGTAATGTCATTGTTACTCTATACCTGCTACAGGTAATGTCATCGTTACTCTATACCTGCTATAGGTAATGTCATCTTTAGTCTATACCAGCTATAGGTAATGTCATCGTTACTCTATACCTGCTATAGGTAATGTCATCGTTTACTCTATACCTGCTATAGGTAATGTCATCGTTATTCTATACCTGCTATAGGTAATGTCATCGTTACTCTATACCTGCTATAGGTAATGTCATCGTTACTCTATACCAGCTATAGGTAATGTCATCGTTACTCTATGCCTGCTATAGGTAATGTCATAGTTACCCTATACCAGCTATAGGTAATGTCATCGTTACTCTATACCAGCTATAGGTGATGTCATGGTTACTCTATACCAGCTATAGGTAATGTCATCGTTACTCTATACCAGCTATAGGTAATGTCATCGTTACTCTATACCAGCTATAGGTAATGTCATCGTTACTCTATACCAGCTATAGGTAATGTCATTGTTACTTTATACCTGCTATAGGTAATGTCATCGTTACTCTATACCAGCTATAGGTAATGTCATCGTTACTCTATACCTGCTATAGGTAATGTCATCGTTACTCTATACCAGCTATAGGTAATGTCATCGTTACTCTATGCCTGCTATAGGTAATGTCATCGTTACTCTATACCAGCTATAGGTAATGTCATTGTTACTCTTTACCAGCTATAGGTAATGTCATCGTTACTCTATACCAGCTATAGGTAATGTCATCGTTACTCTATACCAGCTATAGGTAATGTCATCTTTAGTCTATACCAGCTCTAGGTAATGTCATTGTTTACTCTATACCTGCTCTAGGTAATGTCATTGTTACTCTATACCTGCTATAGGTAATGTCATTGTTACTCTATGCCTGCTATAGGTCATGTCATCGTTATTCTATACCTGCTATAGGTAATGTCATTGTTACTCTATGCCTGCTATAGGTAATGTCATCGTTACTCTATGCCTGCTATAGGTAATGTCATCGTTATTCTATACCTGCTATAGGTAATGTCATCGTTACTCTATACCTGCTATAGGTAATGTCATCGTTTACTCTATACCTGCTATAGGTAATGTCATCGTTATTCTATACCTGCTATAGGTAATGTCATTGTTACTCTATACCTGCTATAGGTAATGTCATCGTTACTCTATACCAGCTATAGGTAATGTCATCGTTACTCTATGCCTGCTATAGGTAATGTCATAGTTACCCTATACCAGCTATAGGTAATGTCATCGTTACTCTATACCAGCTATAGGTAATGTCATGGTTACTCTATACCAGCTATAGGTAATGTCATCGTTACTCTATACCAGCTATAGGTAATGTCATCGTTACTCTATACCAGCTATAGGTAATGTCATTGTTACTTTATACCTGCTATAGGTAATGTCATCGTTACTCTATACCAGCTATAGGTAATGTCATCGTTACTCTATACCTGCTATAGGTAATGTCATCGTTACTCTATACCAGCTATAGGTAATGTCATTGTTACTCTATACCAGCTATAGGTAATGTCATTGTTACTCTATACCTGCTATAGGTAATGTCATCGTTACTCTATACCAGCTATAGGTAATGTCATCGTTACTCTATACCTGCTATAGGTAATGTCATCGTTACTCTATACCAGCTATAGGTAATGTCATCGTTACTCTATGCCTGCTATAGGTAATGTCATTGTTACTCTTTACCAGCTATAGGTAATGTCATCGTTACTCTATACCAGCTATAGGTAATGTCATCGTTACTCTATACCAGCTATAGGTAATGTCATCTTTAGTCTATACCTGCTCTAGGTAATGTCATCGTTTACTCTATACCTGCTCTAGGTAATGTCATTGTTACTCTATACCTGCTATAGGTAATGTCATTGTTACTCTATGCCTGCTATAGGTCATGTCATCGTTATTCTATACCTGCTATAGGTAATGTCATTGTTACTCTATGCCTGCTATAGGTAATGTCATCGTTACTCTATGCCTGCTATAGGTAATGTCATCGTTATTCTATACCAGCTATAGGTAATGTCATCGTTACTCTATACCTGCTATAGTTAATGTCATCGTTACTCTATACCTGCTATAGGTAATGTCATCGTTTACTCTATACCTGCTCTAGGTAATGTCATTGTTACTCTATACCTGCTATAGGTAATATCATTGTTTACTCTATGCCTGCTTTAGGTAATGTCATCGTTACTCTATACCTGCTATAGGTAATGTCATCGTTACTCTATACCTGCTATAGGTAATGTCATCGTTACTCTATACCAGCTATAGGTAATGTCATTGTTACTCTATACCTGCTATAGGTAATGTCATCGTTACTCTATACCAGCTATAGGTAATGTCATCTTTAGTCTATACCAGCTATAGGTAATGTCATAGTTACTCTATACCAGCTATAGGTAATGTCATCGTTACTCTATAGCAGGTATAGGTAATGTCATCTTTAACTCTATACCTGCTATAGGTAATGTCATTGTTACTCCATACCTGCGATAGGTAATGTCATAGTTTACTCTATAGCAGGTATAGGTAATGTCATTGTTTACTCTATGCCTGCTTTAGGTAATGTCATCATTACTCTATACCTGCTATAGGTAATGTCATCGTTACTCTATACCTGCTATAGGTAATGTCATCGTTTACTCTATACCTGCTCTAGGTAATGTCATCGTTAACTCTATACCTGCTCTAGGTAATATCATTGTTTACTCTATGCCTGCTTTAGGTTATGTCATTGTTAACTCTATACCTGCTATAGGTAATGTCATCATTTATTTAAGACAAAGCTTTACATAGGTGGATCCAGAGAGGGTGTGTGTGGGGAATATTATATCCAAGGGGTCCAGACCCCCCCTTTGAAAACCAAATTTTGTATGTTGTAGACAATTCCACCCCACCCCACCCCACTCCACCCCCCAACACACACACACACACACACACACACACACACACACACACACACACACACACACACACACACACACACACACACACACACACACACACACACACAAAGACACACACACACACACACACACACACACACACACACACACACACACACACACACACACACACAGAGGAAAACCTGAAACTAGTTGATCGCTGTTGATGGTATAATCTGTCTTGACCAATCAGCATCATAATCTGCTGTGATTCAGGCAAGGAAGTGATGGTGGTGAATGGCGCCTACCGAGGAGAGAAGGCCACGCTAGAACACATTGATACCAAGGAATTCTGTTGCACCATAAAAATAAACTCGGTAAGTTGAAAACCAAAAATATTTGAAGATTGATTTGTAGAGGTTCATTGTAGGTTGACCATGTGTCGGTGCAGAGTTCGGCCCCTCAGATGTGCCTGGATCTTGGGTTTAAATCACAGAGTCACTATGATTGTGATTCTTGGTTTGTCTCATCTGCAGGAATAGAATATTATAAAGGGTTGTTCGACATATGATTTGGTTTTGGTTTGGTTTGTTGTTTAACGCCGCACTCAGCAATATTCCAGCTATATGACGGCGGTCTGTAAATAATCGAGTCTGGACCAGACAATCCAGTGATTGATATCATGAGCATCAATCCACGCATTTGGGATCAATGACATGCATCAACCAAGTCAGCGAGCCTGACCACCCGATCCCGTTAGTCGCCTTTTACGACAAGCATAGTCACCTTTTACGGCAAGCATGGGTTGCTGAAGACCTATTCTACCCCGGAATCTTCATGGGTCTGTTCGACATATGAAGATTGTACCTAACCATAATTTCAGTTTTTGTTTAGACATGGAGAAATGTGAACACACAATGCCTTTTAGAAAGTAATCAAATGTAACAAATGTCATGTTTAGGATAACACTTTCTTAGTTAAGTATACATTCTAGTACTTTGGAGTTTTAGTCCCATCCAGGATTTGAACTCACACTCTCAGAGTAAGGAACCTAATGGAAGCTCACAAAGTCAGCAATCTACCGGTAACCCACAGCCACTGAGGCTTCCACAGTGGAACCCCAAAAGTACTATCATGTGTACTTTACTAAGAAAGTGTTATCCCAATTATACCATCTGTTACATGGAGAAATGTGTTGGAAGGTCCACTTGAGACTTAAGAGTGTTAACATGTCATTTTATGGCTGAAATTTTGCTGATATGACCAAAAATATAATTTTAACTCACCGGGTACTCAGTGTGTTAAGGACAGATTCAGTTGGCTGGGTTGAAAGTAATATTTTTCATGGTAAATAGTTGTTATGTGTAGTAAAGACAATGACAGGCTCAGATGTTAATTTCGTGACATGAGGGTGGGGTGTGGGTGGTGTGATATAGGCGCTTGTACTCACACAACACCTTCCTGTTTCAGGGCTTGATAACGGGTCGTATTGTTGAAGGCATACAGTATGAAGACATCAGCAAGCTACACACATGACCATAGGTTCGTCTAGTTGCTCGGTCACTAGGAAAAAAACAATGTCTTTGTTGGGTTGTACAGAGACTGTTAATTTAGAGGTCCAGCTCTGCAGTGTTCAGGCGTCACAGATTGGTTTACAGTGGCAGGAGTCTTGCACACCGCAGATCTAAGCTCTCTGCGTACCCTCCAAGGGAGAAGCATCTTGTTGCCTTGGGATATGGAGAATCTGCATACAGCAGACTTTGGATAGAATGGTGTACACATTGGTCAGCTCTTCAACACATTCAAAGAAAAATGGCAGAACAACATAACTGTGCTGACACAAGGAAATCTGGAATTACGTGAGAACCAGCAAGCTTCAGGATGTTCAACATTTACGTTTTCCATCTGCCGCTCTCTACATTTTCTGATAAATGTGTTGCGATACTGAAGTACAGCAATCTCATTGAAATCAGATCTTAGTTCTCTCTACCGCTAAACAAAGATCTGAGGACATCCCATTACGGGTCACGTCTGACCGACCTTTCGCGAACTTTGACCGACCAATGGAATGAACAATCAGAAGGTAGCTTTCTCGTGCTTTACGGCACTAATTTCAAATTGGCAACGACGCTTCGAAACGTATTTTGACAAATTCTCGATTACAAATTTGAAACCTGAACAAAAGAACATTCTAGAATGGCTCATAGATGGCCTAGATTGTATGGATACAGTCATTAAATCCGTAACTATCACATTCCGACTGTCACTTTCATAATCTGGTAAGCGATGTTCTGATTAGTCGGATGAAAGGTCGTTCTGACGTAACCCGTAATGGGATGTCCTCAGATCTTTGTTTAGCGGTAGCGAGAACTGAGGTCTGATTTTAATGAGATTGGAAGTACAGTAGATTCTAGGATGAGAATTTTTTACATCTACTTGAACTTATGTCTGAAACATTATTGCTAATGAATGATGACTGTAACATGTTTAAAGAGCCATGTGATTGTTTCATGGAGGAAAGGAAAATTGTGATTGAAACACATGGTACAGGAGTAAATTGGAAGATTGTCCTTGAAAATGTGTCAACAAATGCATTATTCTTTTGGACTCTTCTTAAGAAGATCTGATAGTGTCCTGTCACACTATTTGTCCATTTTCCTTCCTCCTCGATTTGATATTGTTGTATATGATGGAGGATGTCATTTAGTTGTAAATATGGAGACGGATGGTGCTGTATATGTATGTACATGGGTGACGATGGAGAATAAAGTCAGTTTTCCACGAGCCTTGAGTCTTGGGTACTTTCTTTGTAGCCTGGGTAATGTTGATTTGATATGGGAGGCGAAAGATAGCGATGAAGCACAGAGGCTGGTTCAAGATTTGTTCAAGGATGAATTTTGAATTCTGAAAATTTGGAAAGGGTGGTCAGATTTTCAAGAACACATATATTATGTATAGGATAAAACACGTCCAAGGGTTGTTATGATATTTAAAACCCGCATCCCGAGGGATTTTCCGAGGGAAAGGGTTTTAAATATCACTAACAACCTGAGGGGAAGTGTTTTATCTAACTAATGAACCGAAAAAAGAAAATTAAAACAACATTTATCAACATTTTTATGTTTCGAACATACTTTCCATGAACATTAGGAAACGGGCGTAAAATATCTGTTGCTGGCATACGGATCTTGAAAAGGACATCCTACAAACATTGTGATTTATCAGCGCCTCTGTAGCCTTGTGGTACACTCACTGGATTACCTATACGAAGGTCGCGTGTTCGATCCTCGGGAATTTAAAGAAAATATTTGTCATTTGATTTTACATTTCATTACATGTTACAATCTGAACCAAAGTTGTATAAATAAAATACCCAGGACATCGGATATTATAACACATATAGCAAATATGACTTGAATATCCTATAAAATCCTGGGGATATTATATTAAATCCCAGGGACAGTACAGCGTCCCTGTTTATGAGATTTAACCCAACCAGAGAACACCAGAGGTTTATAAAGTATACTGATGGAAAGTGGTGTGTATGTAATGTTAGTGAAAATAACATAATATTTGACTATTCGTCTGATCAATGTGGGGGCATGGGTGGCCCAGTCATCTAAGGCGCCGCGATTCGCTGTGCAGAATTGCGTCCCCTGGACACGCCAGAAACCTATGATTGTGGGTTCGAATCCTGGTTCACCCTGATTATGTTTCTAGGTTTGTCAGCACCATACATGTACTCGTGGGTTTCACCGAAGTGGTGAACGTCTGAGACCTGCATCACTTGGGCTTTCCTCCCACATTAAGCTGACACGCGGTGATATAACTGGAATACTGTTAAAAGCGGCGTTAAACCCAACTCACTCACTCACTCACTCTGATCAATGTGTTATAAATATTTCATTGACAAGACTCATAGCTGTAACAGGAGACAGAGAGACATGTCCAACAAGAGGGGTGGTGTAACAACTCAGTTATCAGTGGCAATATCGGGTGTGACTACCATTTGTGTTGATACAGGTGAAGCAGCAGAGGTGCATTGAAGTCAACAGATGGTTTAAAACAGCCTGGGGGATGTTATCCCAAATGTCAACCACAGATTGGTCCAACTGTGTAAGCCATACCAGTTGGTTCTGAACCTGTCGTAGGCCTTGTCCCATCTCATCCCAGACATGTTATATGAGGGAGAAGTCTGGAGAAACAGCCAGCCATGGCAGTACAGCAATTTTATGCTGCCTCAAAACGTCTGTTACAACAATGCAAGGTGTGGGTTGGCATTTTCCTGCTTTTGCACCAGGTGTAGAACATGATCTGGAAAGATGACGCCACCCCATACTAACCCTGATCTTCACAGGTGCATTAACATGCACGTGCAGGTTAAGAGTCAAGACCGTAAGTCGAAGACAAGTCTTCACAAATATGGACTGAAAGATGCATTTATTAATTTCAGATTATATATATTTTATTGAACGTCATATTAAGCATAGTTACTTTTCCCAAGCTAGTATATTTTTATACTTCAAATGTATGACTTATATTTTATCATGTACATGTTTTTATCATGTTACTTTCAAAAGTAGGGGTTTGAACTCACACAATCACACAATCATATTCTGATGTTTGTTGTTTAAGGCAGCACTAGAGATTATTCCACTTACATGACGCTGGCTGTAAAAAAATTGTGTCTGAATCAGACAATCCAGTGATTTGTTGCGAGGACATGCTCAATCAAGTCAATGAGCCTGACCACCTGATCCGTGGCCTCTTGTGACAAGCATGAGCTGTGAAGACCAATTCTGACCCAGATTTTCATGTATTCTGCTGTGACTTCGGTTGATTGGTTGGGTAGGCTACTGTTTAGTCAGCATGACAAGTTTGAATCAATGTTGAATGCTACGTCAGATTTCAACATATTTCCCATATCGAGAAGCCAGTTTTAAATCAATGTTGAAACCAATATCAGATTTCAACATATTTTCAAATATCGAGAGCCCATGTTGCAACAATGTTGATTCAACCTCAGTTCAACCAAACACTGACACAATGTCATGTGCCTGCTGGATGGTTTGTTAATGTGTTTGCTCACAAAAGGAAAGGCCTCAGTTTGATTCACAACATAGATAAAACATGCGAAACCTATTCTTGGTGTTCCCCAATAAGATCTTGGATTATTTTTTAGTAAGTATAAGTGGAGAAAAAACACACCCACTGTGCAATTTCATTTAAACGAACTATGAAAAACGATGTTCCATTCATAACCCGAAGTGATGCAGGTCTCAGACGTTTACCACTTCGGTGAAACCCACGAGCACGGGCATGGTGCTGATAAACCGTGAAACATAATCGGGACGAACCGGGATTCGAACCCACAATCATAGGTTTCTGGCTCGCCCAAGGGACGCAACTCTGCACAGCGAATCACGGCGCCTTAGACGACTGGGCCCCCCGTGCCCCCCGTGCCCTCAAATGAAACAACGGAGAACGGAGAGAAATAGAGAATAAGGCACATGCCAAAACTACAAGGCTGCGTTATGTAAGTTTTTTTGTCAGTCCTTGCGTATAACATGTTATTTTTTTGGACATCATCGGCAGAAATCAGCTTCGGGAACAAAGAGGGTATAAAAAATGTGAAAACTGCGATGGCGGCCATGTTGCTCAATGTGAAAATACACAAATAACATCTGGTTTTCAAGAAGCAAAGCAACAGTTCAACCTCCACCCCTAAACAACTTCTACCAAACTCCTTTTAGCTAGTCTCTTGTCGGGCTCCAGTTACCCAAGTCACCAAAGTTATCCTGAGTGAAAGAGCAGGAGATCACCTTAGATTAGATCACTCTAGGCGGCCAGAACTCATCTTCCCGAGACAAGGGCGTTAACTAACCATAAAAGTCAAGAAACTAGTCAGCTAACGACCTTGCCTTAGGAAGATGGCCAGAACGATTAAAATATTTTAACGTGTTTTTTTTCACAAACAGGTAATATAACCCAATTCAATGAGTAAAAGAAATGGAACCAGTCCAGTGCGGTACACGCTTGACCAAAAAAGAAACAGATGAGAAGGGGAATTGGAAGTTCCGTTATCTTTACACTCCCTGAAGCGGTGAACAATCTGGTGGAACCTCCTTCACCATAGTCATTGGGAGCGGATCTCTCTCCCGGCCCCAGATCACCCACTGAAGCGGCATGAGTTCCAATCACACCAGGGGGCACGGGTGGCCCAGTCGTCTAAGGCGCCGCGATTCGCTGTGCAGTTTCGTCCCGTGGACACGCCAGAAACCTATGATTGTGGGTTCGAATCCCGGTTCGCCCCGATTATGTTTCTAGGTTTGTCAGCACCATACCCGTGCTCGTGGGTTTCACCGAAGTGATAAACGTCTGATACCTGCATCACTTCGGGCTTTCCTCCCACATTAAGCTGGCACGCCGTGATATAACTGGGATTATGTTAAAAGCGGAATAAAACACAACTCACTCACTCACTCCAATCACACCATGCAGTGGAAATATTTCAGAACATTTTAAAGCTTTACCGCTATCCATACATGATTTCCAACCATGAGCACACTGGTTACAGGAAACAAAAAGTGCAGATCAAATTGATGTTTAACAGTATAAAGGATTTCCGAATAAACAGATAATTTTATATAGCTGTGTTTACGTCTTCATAAAGTCATAAGGTAAAGTGTGAGTGCGTGCATTCGTGCGTGCGTACGTGCGTGCGTGTGTGTGTGTGTTACAGGTTAAGTCGGGTCCGGGAAAGCGAGGTTGCACTGTGATGTATACAATGTCTTTTCACCTTCTGGTGCTAAAGCCATCATCTTTTCAATCCTTCATCAAGCCATTACAGCCCATACAGTCTGTAACACTGTACGTTGTTTTCGCATTGTGCTCTCTGTATACTCCGCCATCTTCTTCCATTAGCCAGTCAGACATTCAGCCACTCAATGACCATCTCCCAAAGCAATGTCACAAAGGGCGATTTCAAAAGCCATTACCCACTTTGGGATGGTATAAAAACCAATACCAAGGGGAATGTGGTCATTTCCCATCGTCATGGTAACATGCTCTTGTAGTTCCTGTACCTAAACCAGGACGGGATGCTACCGACCCCAGTAATAACAGGTCGATATCACTTACTAGCTGTGTTTGTAATACCATGGACATGTAGCACGTATGGTAAACAAAAGTGTAGTATGATATTTGGAAATCTCATAATTTAATCTCATTGCTAACAATAAAGAACTATCAATCAATTCGATCGTTTTGAATCTTTTATTTAAAAACGTCTTTGTAAATAAACTGCATGCTGTATCTACCATATTTATCTCGGCAAGTCATATGATACCACTTGTAAACGGCGTTATACAAGACCTTAATGGTTTAGGTTTGAGGGCCGTTTGCCTCACGCTATCTAAGTTTAAAACAAAATAGATTTCGTGTGTGAACCAATACGATCATGATACGGGTGTCCCACAAGGCAGTATTTTGGTTATAACATTATTTAGTATAAATTCAATAGCCGGTGTAAGGTCTTAAGTGATTTCAATATATAATGTGGCACAACGATGCATACTGTTGAAAGACAACTTTTTAAGTCTAAACAAAACTCAGAAATAGTGTCTTGAAAATGGATTTAACTTTTCTAAAGCCAAGACAAACTCTGTACATTTTTGACAAGAAATTGGACGCCATAGAGGTCCGGAGCCACATTTCGATGGTATAACAATCAAATGGAGTGATTGAGATGGGTTTAACGCCGCTTTGAGCAGTATTCTAGTTATATCACGACGTGTTAGCTTTACGTGGGAGGAAAGCCCGAAGTGATGCAGGTCAGAGATGTTTACCACTTTGATTAAACCCACGAGCACAGGTATGGTGCTGACAAACCGAGACGAACCGGGATTCGAACACACGATCGTAGGTTTCTGGTGTGCCCAAGGGACGTAGCCTCTCTTACAAAAATTATATCATATAAATTTAATAAAACCAGAATATGTACAATTCATAAAATATACATACGGTATCCAAATATGAGTCATTCAGACACTTGCATACACTCATCAGAAGGTCGTCATGATATGGCTGAAATATTGCCCATGTGACGTTAAATAATAACTCACTCACTCACTCATCAGAAGCACCCGTGAAGAGTAGGTCTTCAGCAACCCTTGCTTGCCGACTAAGAGGCGACTAATGGGATCGGGTGGTCAGGCTCGCTGACTTGGTGGATGCATGTCATCGTATCCCAATTGCGTGGATCGATGCTCATGATGTTAATCACTGGATTGTCTGGTCCAGACATGGTTATTTACCGACCGCCGTCATATAGCTGGAATATTGCTGAGTGTGGCGTTAAACAACAAACCAACCCACCAACCAGGCGTTAGTCGCCTTTTACGACAAGCATAGTCGCCTTTTACGGCATACATGGGTTGCTGAAGACCTATTCTACCCCGGATCTTCACGGAGCTTTTCTTTTTTAAGCTTTCACAAAGAAATAGTCGAATTTGTATTCATGTAGGCAAGTAGGAACTTGGTACAATATCAACAAACAAAAATAAACAAACACAAATAAACTGAGCTGGGTTAATGGTGACTTGTAACACTTGACGTGTGACTGGGGCTTGAAGGACTATGAAGCAAGACGTTGCAGGTTCGTATCCCGCCAGGTTAAAAACATGTTGGTCACAAATGTGTTGTTGCTGAGTTACTATGGTTTTTTAGTTAACATCCCCAACCACCACACTTTTGTATCCCCATTAAACGTTAGAAAAAACCCATAGGAAGAGCCATTTTGTAAATTACTTACAATGAAGTACACGTATCAAGATATCACACAAGGTACCAAAGGGTACACGGGTCTTTCCCACATTTAGATCCTAAACAGATTTAGCTGTTAAACCTAATCCTAAACAGATTTAGCTGTTAAACCTAATCCTAAACAGATTTAGCTGTTAAACCTAATCCTAACCAGATTTAGCTGTTAAACCTATTCCTAAACAGATTTAGCTGTTAAACATAGTCCTAAACAGATTTAGCTGTTAAACATAATCCTAAACAGATTTAGCTGTTAAACCTAATCCTAAACAGATTTAGCTGTTAAACCTAATCCTAAACAGGTTTAGCTGTTAAACCTAGTCCTAAACAGGTTTAGCTCTTAAATGTAACCCTAAACAGGTTTAGCTGTTAAACCTAATCCTAAACAGATTTAGCTGTTAAACCTAATCCTAAACAGATTTAGCTGTTAAACCTAATCATAAACAGGTTTAGCTGTTAAACCTAATCCTAAACAGATTTAGCTGTTAAACCTAATCCTAAACAGATTTAGCTGTTAAACCTAATCCTAAACAGATTTCGCTCTTTAACCTAATCCTAAACAGATTTAGCTGTTAAACCTAATCCTAAACAAATTTAGCTGTTAAACATCATCCTAAACAGATTTCGCTGTTAAACTTAATCCTAAACAGATTTCGCTGTTAAACCTAATCCTAAACAGATTTAGCTGTTAAACATAATCCTAAACATGTCAAATTTATGGGAAAGGAATATGTTTGGTTTTATAATCTACATACATGTTATACAGTGTAGCCATGGCAACATCATCTAGAATATGCCCAGCATGTGAAAAGGGATTTGAAGCAGAATATTTATCAGTTGTTAGTAACAAGTGTTCATGTCATTGCTCTCATCAAATGTGTAAACTTCATTATAAAGATTAGTGTTGTTTAGTGCTTTGAATTGTATGTTGTTTGACGCCGCACTTGGCAATATTCCAGCTGCATTTTGATGCTATTGTGAACAAAATAAATATTTTTTGGGCAAACTGTTCGTTGGAAGAACAGTAAATATAATTGACTTGACTGTATTCTTACCTGACGTGTTTGTGGAATCAAACACTCTTGACTGCAACACAATTATCCTGCGAAGACAGAAACCTATGTACCTAATGACATAGATAGACATTTAAATGAGAAAAAAACAAAAAGATATAATATTCACACATTTTCAGATAATGTGCTCATTTAATATAAGTTGTAGATTATTCCGCGTGAGATACGGCTTGATGCATCTTCATCGTGGCCCTGCACCATGAGCCGACCATAATCCTCAAGGTGAACATCTTCCTTAAGCAAGGGAATTAACTGACTATTAAAGACCAGTTTCACCCTTGCCGAACAAGGCTGGACGTATGGAGTAATGGTTTGGTTGGACTAACGAGTCTATGCATAGTCCAATCAAAATCAAACTTTGCACTGTCCAATAAACTTCGAGCAGTAGTAAGATACATGTAAGATAAGATTAAGACATATTTCAACATTCTCAAAAAATAATGACACATTCACACGAACTAATACTACTCGTGGCTGCGTCATTCCAACATATCAAATAAGTTGGTACTTGTTATTACCCTATCTGGCGCTTGGCATATAGCGGATAAATATATTTAGCCTTACAAATATTTTTAAAAAACAAAACGCCGGAATTTTTCGTTGTCCTTGACTAATATTCGTTCGGCTCATTCTTTCTGAGAAGAAAAAAATGTACGTTTTGATATTAATATCCTTTCTCTAAGACAATTCCAGGCCACACCATGATACGGTAAACTACGGTTATAACGAACTCAAAGGGACTTCTAATTTTAGTTCGTTATAACCGTAGTTCGTTATAAGTACATATACAGCATGACTCTAGCAAGTAGTCTGGACCAAAAAGTAAGTGCGTTATATCCGTCAGTTCGTTATAAGCGTGTTCGTTATAACCGTAGTTTACTGTATTTAGTGTTACTACACATACTACTCAAAAGAAGTTAAAGTATGTCATAGATCAACTATAGTTATATGGAACTATACGGTGTTCTTTAACTCCTGTTGGGTAGTACATATCAGAGGAATCATATACACGTCTTTATGAACAAATTCTGTCACATAATTTGGGTATTGAATAAGACTTCTTCAGTATCAACTACTAGCACATTTAGTAAACCTGCACACGCGATCACGGTCAACTGAAATATGTCATGCTACAACCATTGACGTTTCACGTGGCCAGGTGGTAACAGCTGTTGCTCTACAGTATGTTGACCTACACTATACCTTACACAGTGCAGCGGAAGTCTATTTGCACTGACGCATCTTTAATCTTTACACACAACAAATTATTCAGTCACGAATCAGATGATGGTAATGCCACTTTTGACGAAATTTCTAGTTCCATGTAGAGCAGCATGGCGAGTCAGGCTTCACGTGTGTCGACACCTGCAGACGGACGTTGAATGGAAGCATGGAGAATTTGCCAACTCGAACGTGAGTAGTAATGTTCTTGTGTCCGTATCTTCGAGTACGGAAACCTCTTTAATATGGACTGTTAAGCTTTTAATAGTTTTACGCACGAAATGACATCTATGTTAACCTCATGTTTGACCTCCTATTTCTTTACATAACATATCTTTGCTTGAGATCGCAGATCGAATTTATACACATCGATATCATTTAAAAGCAATGTCGCCCAAATTGCGTTGCTCGATGCTGGAGTGTCTGGTCCGAACACGACCAGTTACAGAGTAATTTTTAATTTAAAGAGTTCAGGGTCTACCGCAGTAATCAGATGTACTTTCATTGTCAGCTGTCATTCGTGACCAACTCGTGTTATTCCGGGACAAGCCGAATAGCGGGTTACGGAAAGGGGCGAGTGGTGACGAATGCCGACAACCGCTTGCTTTGTAGGTCTTCACGCTACTATATCAAGATCAAAATCAATTTTCCCAGTCACCATTAACCTAGCTTGGTTTATTTGCATTTATTTATATTAATATTGTACCATGGTGTATATGTGTTATGCATATATAAAATCCATATTTGATATGCAATGATATGCACTTTATTTTAACATGTTTAAGGGTGTTTAAATTCTAATCATGTTTAAATCTTTTATACCCCGCCACCAACAAGTCAGACTGCACGTGGATTTCTGAGAGGCAGAATAACTCCCCCCTACCCCGCTCAGCCGCACGCTTTTTCAGAGTCAATGAAAGTCACGTGACTCAAGTTAACCTCAGCTCAATTGAACAGCTGGTTCAAATCAATTCTGAATTTGTTCTAATTCTTTTACAATGTGGGGGCATGGTGGCCCAGTCGTCTAAGGCGCCGCGATTCGCTGTGCAGAGCCAGAAACCTATGATTGTGGGTTCGAATCCCGGTTCGCCCCGATTATGTTTCTAGGTTTGTCAGCACCATACCCGTGCTTGTGGGTTTATCCGAAGTGGTAAACGTCTGAGACCTGCATCACTTGGGGCTTTCCTCCCACATTAAGATGACACGCCGTGATATAACATGAATACTGTTAAACCCAACTCACTCACACACTTTTACAATGTCGCATTAAATCATGTCGGTAATATAGATTCCTTGTAGCAGGATCACTCGGGGTTCATGGTTTTTTTTATGCGTCCCTCTTGGCTTTATACCACTCTTCTCCGGCTCCTGGTATAAAATCTAATGCGTGGTATTTCAGTGTATATATTTCAGTGTACCAAACTTAATTTTATCACCAAATGAAAATTTAATTTTAATCTCCGGTTCGTGGTAAAAAACCTAACGCGGGACGCATAAAACACAACTACAACTTATAATAATGAAAATAATCATATTCAAAGTCACTTGTGCCTGCAACCAATGCGACCGTTGTTTTTCCTTCTAATCCGCCCGTGGGAACTCACTTCAAGATCGGACCCGTAAAGATTCCTGGGTAGAATAGGTCTTCAGCAACCCATGCTTGCCGTAAAAGGCGACTATGCTTGTCATAAGAGGCGACTAACGGGATCGGGTGGTAAGGCTCGCTGACTTGGTCGATTCATGTCATCGATCCCAACTGTGTCGTTCGATGTTCATGATGTCAATCAATGGATTGTCTGGTCCAGACTAGATTATTTACAGACCGCCGTCATATAGCTGGAATATTGCTAAGTGCGGCGTTAAACAACAAACAAACAGTCTCGTATATACGTCTCATTTTTTATACGCATACTTTGTATGTCTATGGTACAGTTACCATTGGACCCCCATTTTAATGCCTGGAACCTCAAACAGTAACACCGAGACTCCCCAGGAGAGCAAACTTACAAACCAAGGGAAATAATTTATATTGAAAGGACAATGCATGATAAGGATAATTTTAATGATTTTATGTACATTGGTCTGTTAATATATTTTGGGATGTTTCCGACTACCCACTGATTCTCTCTCCAACCTGAGTGGACGATGGGCTAGTGGTTAAACGCGTTGGCTTGTCACGCAAAAACCCGGGTTCGATTCCCCACATGAATACGATTTGTAAAGCCCATTTCTGAGGTTCCCCAGTCGTGGCATGACTTAATCCCAGTGAAGATCCAGATTAGAAATGATCTTCAGCAACCCATGCCTGTCGTAAGAGGCGACTAACGGGATCGGGTGGTCAGACTCGCTTACTTGGTTGTTGCACGTCATCGTATCCCCATTGCGTGGATCGATGCTCGTGATGTCATTCACTGGGTTGTCTGGTCCAGACTCGATTATTTACAGACAGACGTCATACAGCTGTAATATATCTGAGTGCGGTGTTAAACAACAAACAACCAAACAACACACATTAGTGAGTGAGTGAGTGGGTTGGGTGTTTAACGCCGCTTTTAACAGTATTCCAGTTATATCACGGCGTGTCAGCTTAATGTGGGAGAAAAGCCCGAAGTGAAGCAGGTCTCAGACGTTAACCACTTCGGTGAAACCCACGAGCACGGGTATGATGCTGACAAACCTAGAAACATAATCGGGGCGAACCGGGATTCGAACCCACAATCATAGGTTTCTGGCTCGCCCAAGGGACGCAACTCTGCACAGCGAATCGCGTCGGCTAAGACGACTGGGCCACCCGTGCCCCCCAACACACATTAAGCTGACATACCGAGAATTAACTCAAATACATTCAAAGCAGCGTCTAACCCGACTCACCCACGGACACTCTGCTGCCATTAATGGTGTACCCTTGTAGCTGATTCTGTTGAGAATTATTGTTGAATTTGGCGTTAAACAGCAAACAAACAAACAAACAAATAAATATGACATAAGACTAGATATGATATAAACCCAACTCACTCCCTTTCTGTGTTCTCTGTTTAGACCAACGTGCTACTTATAGGCAGTCCTGGGTCAGGCAAGACGACCGTGGCCCGGCTACTGGGCGCTATGATGGACCGTCCGGTGGTGGACATCGACGACGACCACTTGGAGCCCTACTGGAAGATGACAGTGGCCGACAAGGTGAGTCTGAGGGCCGGGTTCACGAAGCTATCGTAGCCTTCAGAGCATCGCAACTCCCATACTTTAACATAGACGTACGACAGTCGTAGCGCTAAGAGACCTTGTGAAACAGAGCCTACGGCCGCAATTCTCCGTTGACAGTGACCCGTGAAGACTTAATTTTTGGAGAAAAGAATAGGGAACTTAAAGGTAGGATTAGACCAGTGATGATCCGGGATAGAATAGGTCTTCAGCAACCCATGCTTGCCGTAAAAGGCGACTATGCTTGTCGTAAGATGCGACTAACGGGATCTGGTGGTCAGGCTCGCTGACTTGGTTGATGGTTAATACATGTCTTGTATCCCAGTTGCTAGGATCAATGCTTATGATGTCAATCACTGGATTGACTGGTCCAGACTCGATTGTGGTGTGTTAAACAACAAACAACAAACAAACAAGCTCCGTCGTCAGTACTTCACGGCTTCGTTTACACTATGTTCGTAAATACATTAGGACGATATGCGTAGTGGTCACGTGTCTCGTGTAACCCAAATATTGAGTCCGTGTATTACTCAAATAAACCCTATACTCCGTGCATGAACTGTGCGAACCCTACCATTGTCTGACAGTGATGTAATGTGTAGAGCAGATAGCAGTGAGTGAGTGAGTGAGTATGGTTTTTAGCCGCTTTTAGCAATATTCCAGCAATATTACGGCGGGGGACACCAGAAATGGGCTTCACACATTGTACCCATGTCGGGAATCGAACCCGGGTCTTTGGCTTGACGAGCGAACGCTTTAACCACTAGGCTACCCGACCTCCCCCCAGTATACTTGAAGACTATGGCACATGCTGCACAATATATCACGATGACAACTGGGCGATTATTGGTCTGAGTATTAGCTGGTTTCCCCCTCGCTAGCCCCAGGCCGTTGGTTGATTCGTTGGTTAATATGGCTTTGGTTTGGTTTGTTGTTAAACGCCACACTCAGCAATATTCCAGCTATATGACGGCGGTCTGTAAATAATCGAGTCTGGACCAGATAATCCAGTGATCGATATCATGAGCATCGATCCACACAATTGGGATCGATGACATGCATCAACCAAGTCAGCGTGCCTGACCACCCGATCCCGTCAGTCGCCTCTTTCGACAAGCATAGTCGCCTTTGACGGCAAGCATGGGTTGCTGAAGACCTATTCTACCCCGGATCTTCACGGGTCTGTATTCACAGGACATACAGGAACGTGGTATATACAAACCCTTCGAGAATTGGCCATGGCAGTTTTCACACATCATGTGTCATGTGCTGATATAACGCAAACAAAGAGAGTGTAGTGCGAACCAATGGGGACTAGTTCTGTACACTTTTCAAGTCAAGGTCAAATTTACTATGACTGCCAATTGGCCTGAGCATTTCCACTCTAGAGAGATAATACAAAATGGGTCACATTGTCATTGTGCCCTCAACTCTGAGTTCTGGTGTCCCCCGCCGGGATATTGCAGGAATACTGCTAAACGCGGCGAGCGGCGTAAAACTAAACTCACTCACTCACTCACTCAGATAATGCCTCAAGCTAACTTGGCAGTCCTACATAGCAAGCCCACTCAAATAAAACATGCTTGTCTGTAAACTTATGTCTAACGATCTAAATCAACTTAGCAATGCAAGATTATCATACGAGTATTTCAAAAAGTGAGTGAGTTGGGTTTAACGCCGCTTTTAACAGTATTCCAGTTATATCGCGGCGTGTCATCTTGATGTGGGAGGAAAGCCCGAAGTGATGCAGGTCTCAGACGTTTACCACTTCGGTGAAACCCACAAGCACGGGTATGGTGCTGACAAACCTAGAAACATAATCGGGGCGAACCGGGATTCGAACCCACAATCATAGGTTTCTGGCGTGCCAAAGGGACGCAACTCAGCACTATTTCAAAAAGAAAATTTCCCACAAGTAACAACATCTAGATTGAGCTAGTGAGTTAACATTTGACGTCGCATCGGCGACGTAGCAGCCATACTGCGACGAGAACCCGACTGATATCTGAATGACCCGAAGACACCATGTCACGCATGTCCTATCACGAATTGGGTTGTTCTCAGAGGCACGGATGACCCTCTTGGAACGTAATTTGCTTATCGTGCGTACGAATTACAAATTCAGCCTGCTTGTGTTGTCAGCACCTTATCCATGCTTTTGGGCTTCCTCAAAGTTTCAAGAACGTCGACAAATATCACGTCGGGATTCGTCCCACGTATAAACCTATTGCATTCAAGGCCGTATTTGTACAAGTATCACTTGTCCCCAACTTGTATTTTCATGATTCAAATAAAACTGTTATAAAAAAATTCAGTGTTTTAAAAATCGAAGACAAAATATGAATTTTTTTCATTATGAATAACAGGAACCGAACGTACAACATCACACATCGTGTTAAGATTTTTAACCCATTATTTTCCCCCTGAGCCACAGGGCAGGTGATGAGGGTGTTAAATCTGAGATGTCATGAGTTAGTTTTGTCAATGCCGCGCGTTTCTTTCTCTCGCACGCTTTGATCGCATTCCTTTTATACCGCGGCGCACTGTATTGTTTCTCTATAAGATATCTCGAGGTTTCGTTGTGTGTTCTGTTATTTCTTGCAATTAGACTGTTTATAAGTGAGGCAAAGCACTCCTTCTTTGTTATGGTCTCGCTCCTCGGTCGTACATTGCCGATATCCTCTTGCCTCGGTCTTACATGGGGCCTCGGTCTATACATGGGGGCACGGGTGGCCCAGTCGTCTAAGGCGACGCGATTCGCTGTGCAGAATTACGTCCCTTGGGCACGCCAGAAACCTATAGTTGTGGGTTCGAATCCCGGTTCGCCCCGATTATGTTTGTCAGCACCATACCCGTGCTCGTGGGTTTCACCGAAGTGGTAATTATTTTAAACGTCTGAGACATGCATCACTTCGGGCGTTCCTCCCACATTAAGCTGACACGCCGTGATATAACTGGAATACTGTTAAAAGTGGCATTAAACCCAACTCACTCACTCATTACCCTATAGTATGAATGAAGTATATAGTATGTTTTTTTTTCAATTGTCTAGCTGTCTAAAGTTGGAGGCGATAGGTTTCTGGAGGAAGAAGGAAAAGCATTGTTGAAGTTCGACGGTAAAGGCAAGATTGTTTCCCTCACGGGGTCGAACCCCATGCATACAGAAGCTATGAGACATATAGCCAAATCAGGGACAGTATTTTTCATTGACTGCCCAAACAAGGAAATCATCAACAGGTTAAACATGATGAAGGTAAACAGAATTGTAGGTCAAGGTGACGGGACCAGCATGGAGGAAATACTCAAATACCGACGTCAATTTTACGAAAAACACTATGACGTTAGGATTGTTTGTGACGAAGGAGAGACCCCAGAAAGCGTTGCTAACAAGATAAAAACCAAGTTTGATAATTTTGTCAACGACAAAGGTTACGTGTCGACCAGAGGTTCCGTGATCAAACCACGAATTCCGTTTTTCCACACGGTTCTCAAAGGACTCGCTGAAGATGGCGGCCTATACACAATGGCCGGGGATATGCCACGGTTTACAAAGGGCCAGTTTGACAGATTGGTGCATTGTGGCTACAGGCGGAGGGCGCTGGGTATCCTTGAACAACTGATTCATCCTTATGATCTCTCATCAAAGTCACTACAGAATTTCGTAAATGAAGCTTATCATCGTGAATCCTTTGCTTCCGATGATATTTTCCCAGTGCGCCACCTAGCGGGGAATCAGTACATTCTGGAACTGTTTCATGGGCCTACAGGGTCTTTTAAAGATGGCGCTCTACAGTTAATGCCGATGTTCTTCACAGCGGCCATGGATAGTGAAAGACGTTTTGGTGACCGTAATAAGTGAGTACTCAATCTCTACCTTAGTGTTAGTGAGTGAGTGAGTTATTATTTAACATCACTTTGTCACAATTTTAGCCATACTGTGACAAGCATATTTATCAAGCCTTTGAAAGGCATCTAGAAGTGATACACATAAGGAAGAGAATTTATGGATGTCAACTTCTTTATTATGAGGAACACCGTTTGTTATCTTACTACTTTTGCATTCATTCACCTGATAAAGGAGTAAGCATGTACTCCGAAACGTTGTGACCCGTGAAGATTCCGGGGTAGAATAGGTCTTCAGCAACCCATGCTTGTCGTAAAAGGCGACTAACGGGATCGGGTGGTAAGGCTCGCTGACTTGGTTGATGCATGTCATCGATACCAACTGCGTGGATCGATGCTCATGATATTAATCACTGGATTGTCTGGTCCAGACTCGATTATTTACAGACCGCCGTCATATAGCTGGAATATTGCTGAGTGCAGCGTAAAACAACAAACCAACAAACCAACCAACCAACCGAAACGTTGTGTTCCTGATAATAAAGAAGTTCAAATCCATAAATTCTCTTTCTTATAAGCATATTTTTGTCATAAAAATCATGTCGATGAAGGATTGTAAAATAATTCATTTCATACCACAGATAAATATCCAAGACCATTTGAAGGGCACGAACAAAAGGTTTGCTCTAAAACTACGACACGTATTATTCTAGTCACGGATCGCCAGCAATATATCCATACCACCGCACTTTGGACCGTGATTGATCTCCTTACAGGCAAACTGTGATCGTGTGATTTTATAGATTACCAATATATTAATACTTATAAAGATATTGATTATATGGTTTTACAGATTGTCTGCTGTTTATACAACATATTGGGCCCTAGAACTTGGCCCCAGATCAGACTATTGACTATCGTAATGATGTAGACAAGCACAAACATATGGTTCGCGAGCGAGGTCAAGGATAGCTTGGTGCCCTAAATTGTTAGACCTATCGGGGTGAAAAAATGGAGGTCTTTAAATTATCCTTCAAACGGTGCATGGACACCAGCAGACATTTCACAATAATTCGTGAAAAGGGAACAAAATGCATTGCAGAATTTATATTTGATGTTTGAACCGTGCAGCCCAATTAAACACCTACACATTTTAATTCCAAACAGTAAAAGTGAAATGATTTGTACGGAAGCCTTGGTTTTTTTTGTTGGTTTTTCTTGAAATTTCAAGAATCTAACTTGAAATTTTAAGATACTAAGTTGAAGATACTAAGTTGAAATTTATTTAATAGCAGCACGTGTAAGATAAAATAATCTTGTTTCAGACGTATTTGAATGTCCATTAGACCCGTGAAATTTCCGGGGTAGAATAGGTCTTCAGCAACCCATGCTTGCCGTAAAAGGTGACTATGCTTGTCGTAAGAGGCGACTAACGGGATCGGGTGGTCAGCCTCGCTGACTTGGTTGATGCATGTCATCGTATCCCAATTGCGTGGATCGATGCTCTTGATGTCAATCACTGAATTGTCTGGTCCAGACTCGATTATTTACAGACCGCTGTCATATAGCTGACATATTTCTGCGTAAAACAACAAACATACAAATTGAATGTCCATTCGGCCTTAGTCAAGGTTATGTATTGAGCCCATTCTTGTTCTCCATGTTAAATAATGAATTTGCTCATGCCGTTGAATCCTCTTGCTCACATGGTATTTAAGAATTGACCTTCACCTTGTGTGAGTTCATTGAAGTATGAACCTTCATAGAATGAGGGCCAAACTGTAGGAACGTCGGATATTGCGACGACGTTCATACAGTGTTTAGTGTTTACTATTTTGTGCCTCAAAGGATGTAGACCTAGATCTATAGACAATTATATTTAGTACGTGTGACTTCATGTTTACACTGACAGTCATACAACAACCAGCTGTATCGCGGAATAAAATAGTTCCTCAAAACGAGAAGTGACATGAGCGTATGTAAGCTCAACATGCTCCACAGGAACAACTTTTGTAGTTATTTTATGACAGATGTATTCAAATAATATCCTCATTACTTGAGAAAGGTCTGTTAAGAACTACCTCGGTAAGTCAATCACAATGACAGCGCGTCGTAATACATTTACATCAAGTACAAGACGCCAAATGGCCGACACGATAAACGTGACGGTAGAGATTTCCGAAGATGTTAATGAACCTGTCTCTATTACAAGTGTTGGTCATCACTGATCAATTGGCTGATCATTGAAAGGTGATTGTAAAGATGTGTCAACTAGGCACTAAGGTTAATTCATAGATGACTGGGGCGGTCGGGTAGCCTAGTGGTTAAAGCGTTAGCTCGTCACGCCGAAGACCTGGGTTCGATTCCCGACATGGGTACAATGTGTGAAGCCCATTTCTGGTGTCTCCCGCCGTGATATTGCTGGAATATTGCTAAAAGCGGCGTAAAAAAACATACTCACTCACTCACTCACTCACATAGATGACTGTTGTCTAGACACGGATCGAGTCGATACTACGATACTTTGGATGTGCTTTTCTTCGTTTTGTTTTCTGGGATAAGTTGTAGCGATGTATATCCCAATGTATGCTAAAACGCTTAGTTCATGATTAAAGGGGCTAAATGATGAGAAACGACGCTTTTCTGTATTTATTCGTGCAAGGAAATTCCCAGGGGTTTCCCAGGAATGTGGACGTATTTCATCAGTGTTACATCATTTCTAGAATACAATCTCGTGAAGAATGTATGAACGTTAAAATGTATTCAAATCCACATGTATACACTCGTCAAAAAAGGAAACGCACAGGTAGATTTTTAGTAAAATTTTACGCACCGTTTGTTGAATATCAGGCCACCAACATTTTCAAACAACATATATCCAATTTATATACCACATGTTTTGTGTTGTCAGATTCAATGAACCTGTGTTTTTCTTTTTTTGAAGAGTGTATATATAAATTGTACACCATGTGTAATCGCGTGAGGCGCTGTATAGACATTTAAGCCCCATTTTATCATATGAATTAATTTATTGAATCACAAAATCAATCATTGTTATTTCATTTGATGAAATAGAATAATTATTGACATAAAATATTTATTGATATCACAAATTCGAGTGTCAGATATGAAAACGGGAATTTATATATAACAATGTATTTGTGAATATTTCAAAATCAATTTTGTGATATCTACAGATGTATTTGTTGATATATCAAAACTAAATGAATTGTTGATATATTTGGATGGGGAATAACAGTAAAACGGTGCTACACACACCAAGCTTGCATTTCCATTGCAGCTACCTGATCCTGGTGGCCACATCCGGGGACACTGGAGGAGCGGTGCTGGACGGATTCAGCAGACATGCTGGTGAATACATAGTCTCTTGAAAACTAATGATGCTAATAATGAGTGAGCGGTTTAACGCCGCTTTTAACAGTATTCCAGTTATATCGCGGCGTGTCAGCTTAATGTGGGAGGAAAGCCCGAAGTGATGCAGGTCTCAGACGTTTACCACTTCGGTGAAACCCACGAGCACGGGTATGGTGCTGACAAACCTAGAAACATAATCGGGGCGAACCGGGATTCGAATCCACAATCATAGGTTTCTGGCGTGCCCAAGGGACGCAACTCTGCACAGCGAATCGCGTCGCCTCAGACGACTGGGAGACCCGTACCCCCTACTAATAATGATGATGGTGACGGTGACGGTGATAATAATATTAATGATGATGATGATGATGATGATGATGATGATGATGATGATGTGTGTACTTATACCGCGCTTTCATTATTACCACAGTCATTGGATAAGTTTTTTTGCACTCTATTTTTATTCACAGATCCCCGGTGAGTATACAGCCCCAGCTGCATATTCAGACTCTAGAAGGTTAACAGTCTCACTATATCTCATTCTACCGGGTACCCATTTTTCCTGCTGAGTTAACAGAAGCATATTTCGAATAGACAGATATGTTCAGTAAACTACGGTTATAACGAACTCAAAGGGACTACTATTTTCAGTTTGTTATAACCGTAGTTCGTTATAAGCAAATATACAGTATAACTACAGCAAATAGTCGGGATTAAAAAGTAAGTTCGTTATATCCGTCAGTTCGTTATAAGCGTGTTCGTTATAACCGTAGTTTACTGTACTACAAGCAACCGTTTAGAATCAGCTTGCCTGTTACATTCAACAACATTACAGTGGAGCGCGTGAAAATAATGGAGATCAGACAAACCAGTGATTGATATTATGCACACCGTCCGGGTACGATGACACGCAAACATCCAAGGAACCGAGCCTGACCACACGATTCATTCAGTCTCCTCGTGCAAGAAGTTGTTCAGTATCGGAGAAATATTTTAATCCGGGACCCGGAAGGGGCGTAATATTCAGTCTGAATCCTGTGATGAATGTACTCAATTGCAAATTGTATACATACATTATATAGAAGCTCCATCAGCACTTTCAGGAACCACTTCATACTGTGCATGATGATCAACCTTTAGATGACAGATATCCTGTCGTTACTGAATGTTTCAAAGGGTAGAATTTCAGGGTATCGAATACTCAAGAACACAATTTTTGTTGTTGTTTAACGCCGCACTCAGCAATATTCCAGTTATATGATGGTATTCCAGCTGTATGATGGCGGTCTGTAAATAATCGAATCTGGACCAGACAATCTTGTGATTGACATCATGAACATCGATCTATGCAATTGGGATACGATGATTTGCATCAACCAAGTCAGCGAGTCTGACCACCCGATCCCGTTAGTCGCCTCTTATGACAAGCATGGGTTGCTGAAGATCTATTCTAAGTCGGACTAACTATAACTGATAAAGAAAACCCCAGATGATATCTAGACATACTTTATTTTCTAAAATCCGATTCCTGGAAATTTCTTTTTAGTCCGAAAGATTGTCGGGATTCGAATCGTTTAGAACGTTTTTCAACCAATCAAATTGCAACACAATCGTTTCGGCTGAATGACAAATCATAGAACTGAGTTATCGGCTTTGGATATGGCACTCTGGTTCCAAAATTGGCGAACGGTCTTCCAAAGTTCTGTGCCAGTGATCGTTAAAGCGACCATGCTCGGTGACACTGTTACTGTTATTATGACAGGTGGGTCTGGAGTGGGCGTGGTTGTCCTCTACCCATCCCGCGGAATCAGTCAGCTGCAACAGCACCAGATGGCCACGATGGACGGGGACAATCTCAGAGTGATAGGTATATACATTTGCAATCTGAGTAATATAAAATTTATATCTTTGCACCGGCAGTATCTCTGTCATGTAGCGACTTTTGCAATCATGTTCAACCATTTACCAATCTTTCAAGAAGTAGAGTCTGGTATTCAAATTAATTTATATTTGAAAAATAACAATGAGTACCGAAAGACAATTTTACTGGCTCATAATACCATAATATACCATGCTATATCAGTATGTTGGAGTAATGTATGTAAGAATTTCATCATATTTAGGTGTTTCGCAATTTGTAGGCTTTTGTTAAGAACACATCCAAATTATGAAGGACAAGATTATCACCTATTTGCATTAGTTTTGTGAATTGCATCGGAGATTTTGATTCAGTGTAATATGGTGAGTGGTAATTTCTTATATTGGCATACTGTTTCGCATATAAACATGGTATTCCTCATGGTAATATATGTCGTATATATCATGGTGGCTTTAGCAATTGCATTTTTGACCTTTGAATGGAATTTAATTTTAACCTCGTCTTCATTTACAAAGGAGTTGACAGTGACTTTGACTTCTGCCAGACAACGGTTAAGCGTATCTTCCAAGATGAGGATTTCGCAGATGCACTACAACGTCAGTATTCCTGCAAACTGAGGTGGGTACTTTCAACACTCTAAATGGGCAAGACTTGTAGTTTTAACAGTCGTGGTCAAATTCTAGAGTTCTAAAACGGTGAAATATGTTTCAGTGCCGCCAACAGTTTAAATTGGGGTCGCCTCCTTCCTCAAATCGTATATCACGTCTCAGGTTACCTTGACCTTGTCAAAATGAGGGTTATCTCCCTTGGTGATGAAATCGATGTCTGTATCCCAACTGGGAACTTCGGAAATATTCTTGCAGCTTATTATGCCAAGGTAAGGCAAGGCAACAAATTCGTAATTCAACGCAGTAACAATTACATCGTAGGAGACATAAGTCTCATTTGTTAAAATATTATTCCCAAAACTACAAAGTGTCAAGCACTTAGGTCTTAAAAGCAAAGAAGATATCTTTCTTCATGAACATTCAATGCTGGATATAATACCATGGTGTTGATAATTAATGACTTAATTCCTTCTGGAAATCAATGTTGTACATGTATTCACATTCAGATCGAATTTCTTGCAAGATTTGTTGTCATTTGTTCATAACCATATGAATCACATTACGCCGCTTGATCATATTCGAATATTAAAATTAATTTTATAAGGGCCGTTCTTATTGAGTACGTCGTATGGCAGGGGTACTGCATTAGATAAAGCGACAAACCACGTTGTATTCCGACTATGTGATAATATAAGAATGCGTTTATGAAGCACTATTAAATAGTGACGATACTAGGTGTTCGCGAAAAGGTGAGCGCATCCTGCTTCACTGGTGGCATCAGTCACAAACACATGCAAAGTCAAGTCAATTGTTCATCTGAAAAAACACAGGAACATAGAGTACACGTCAAAATAGGGAATTGCATTGGACATCATTTTTGTCTCTGATGCGTCAAATTTAGGTATGTCCTCCACATGTCTAGCATACAATTTTTTGAAAGCTTTACTAAAGCCTTGAATGTTGTTACCTTGATCAAACAAACAAACAAAAATCTTCAACTTATTTTAGGAAATGGGAGTTCCAGTCCGACGTCTCATCTGTGCCTCCAATAGCAACAACGTCCTCACGGACTTCCTCAACACAGGCAACTACGATCTGACCTCGCGTACACTTCTCCGCACAGCCTCCCCTGCTATCGATATTCTGAAGTCATCTAACCTTGAGCGCCTCCTCTACCACCTGCATGACAATAACGGCGCTGCTGTGAGCCAGCTGTATTCAGACCTGGACAAGCAGAGGAAGTTTTCAGTGTCAGAGGAGGTAGGCTAGCACTTCCGGGGAAGTGAAGTGTCCCCTTGGACATCATATATAATTGTTAGCCGTGTAGTTAGAGATGAAGATCCCACAGAAGCGTATTAGTGCCACATTCTAAAAAAATATCTAGGTATCGTCTACGTAGATGAAAGTATTTAGTATTTTTTTAGAATGTGGCGCTAATACACTTCCATAAGATTCTGATTCGATTCCACACAATGTGCAGCTCATTCTTTTGATAAACCACGCAATGGTATTGCTGAAATTATTATATTACAGAAAGTGTCAGAATACCACACTCACTAACTCTATCTCAGCCCTGTTGGGATTCCTGATAATAATAGATCCACCGCTTGTCTTAAAATCCGACCAAAATTTGGGTTCGGGACTTAAGCTCTGTGGCCTGGAGACCGCCTCCGTGGTCTAGTGGTAGAGCGTCCGCCCGGAGAGCGGAAGGCCCGGGGTTCGATCCCCAGCCACGTCATACCAAAAGACGTTAAAACATGGCACTTGTTGTTACCCTGTCTGGCGCTCGGCATTAAGGGGCTAAAACAAGGACTGGTCGGCTCGGAGTCAGTATACTGTGTCTGAGTGGGGTATTCATGTTAAACTGCGGCATGGTATCTCAGTGTGCTAGCGCTATAAATCGGCATCAGTCCGGACTAGTACAAGCAGCCACACACACACACATACACGTGCATGCACGTCGCTATATAAGTGCAATAATCTTGGACGCGACGTTAAAACCCATTTCACCTCACCTCTGTGGCCTGGCTGACTGAGTGTTTGTTTGTTTGTTTGTTTGTTGTTTAACGCTGCTCTCCGCAATATTCTAGCTGTATGACGGCGGTCCGTAAATAATCAAGTTTAGACCAGACAATCCAGTGATTGACATCATGAGGATCGATCGCACCTGATGACGTGGACCGTTGTTCATATTTTTACTCACTGGTTTACCTGGTCGGATTGATGCCGTCCTCGGCGTTAAACAACACTCACTCATTTTTTATCATGGGTGTGTTCTCAAGATGCATTTTGTTATTCATATTTCATAGTCGATTAGGGGGCACGGGTGGCCCTGTCGTCTAAGGCGCCGCGATTCGCTGTGCAGAGTTGCGCCCCTTCGGACGCGCGAGAAACCTATGATTGTGGGTTCGAATCCCGGTTCGCCCCGATTATGTTTCTAGGTTTGTCAGCACCATACCCGTGCTCGTGGGTTTCACCGAAGGGGTAAACGTCTGATACCTGCATCACTTCGGGCTTTCCTCCCTGACACGCTGTGATATAACTGTAATACTGTTAAAAGCGGCGTTAAACCCAACTCACACACATAGTCGATTAACAATTGAAAGTTCATAGTTACCACATAGGGACAACGTGATAGAGAGCGGATATATATATGTATATATATATATATATATATATATATATAAAGGCGGACAAATTTATTACAAGGTATATACGCCTAAGCGTACAATTCGCCAATCCGAAATTGTATGAAATAAGCCACAAAGGTGGGGGAATCAACGCATACACGCACATGACTAAGAAAAAGGAACCTAAATAGCGAGATAGAGAGGAGGAGGCTTGGGAGGAGGTGGTTTTAAGTTGCTAAAATGAGACAGGGCAAAACACGTCTGGAGCGGGCGGCTATCCAAGCGGAGATGCGCGTTAATCAGAAAGCTAACGTGGATGACGCTAACGTGGATGACGTCACCGTTTACGTCATATCTTTTAAGTGACGTATTGATTCCCGCCATGAGGTGTAACCGGGCAGCGCGCATGAAGCGCAACTGGCTTTTTTCCCATAAAACATTTTTTTAAAATTTTTTTGCATATATATATATATATATATTATATTTTTTATTAAACTAATCAGAATTAATCAAAATGTCTCAAATGTACACTAGCTGTAACCATGCTATTCACAAGGTTCTTCACAAGATACTGAATCGCCCGTTTTCGATGAACTATTTAAAGGACACATTGTTTTCAACTCGATGTCAAGATTGCCTTATGTTTCAGATCCTAAGACGTATTCAGGGTTCGTTCGTCGCAGGTTCGTGTGATGAACAGGCTTGTCAACAAACAGTGCTAAAGACCTACAAAGACACGGGTACGTTCAGTTCCTGTTAGTTAGTGAGGGAGTAAAGCCCGAAGCACAGTTCGTAGACGTTACCACTCTGGTGAAACGGGTATGTTTAGAACCCATAAGAATCTGCACAGCCACCCGTGGCCCAATTTCCTGCAGAAAAAAACCCACAGTATTGATGAATACCACTCAATAAAACCTGCAATTGTATGCATCCAATCTAACATGCCTGCACTGCCAAATTTCTCAAGTCTATCTCCTACATGATTTTTCTTACAAATATGTGATAAATCATGTGTAAAGAAGATATTGAATCGCTGAAAAGTGAAACGAAAATGTCAAATACTAAAATGAAAATGTCTAAAACAAAAATGAAAATGTCAAAAACTAAAATGAAAATGTCAAAAACTAAAATGAAAATACAGAAAACTATTTCCACCGCGGTGATAATATTTACCCCGCGGTGGAAATATTATCACCGCGGTGGAAATAGTTTTCTGTGGTTTCATTTTAGTTTTTGACATTTTCGCTTTTGTTTTTGACATTGTCTTTTTGTTTTTGACATTTTCATTTTAGTTTTGGACATTTTCGTTTTGGTTTTTGACATTTCCATTTTAGTTTTTGACAGGTTCGCTTCACATTTCAGCGACTCAATAGCTACTTGAAAGTACATTTTCCATGTTTCGGTTGTTTTTATACATGATTTATAACATATTTGTATGAAAAATTGTGTTAATTTGCCAAAGGTTACGATAAAAGTAAGTGAAACATCAAAATATTGAAAAACAGACTCCATGTCCCTTATGGGCCACCGTAATCTCCCTATATTTATACATTTCAGGCTATCTCCTCGACCCGCACACTGCTGTGGCCAAGTCGGTGGCAGACAGGTTCGGAGGCACATCTTGTCCCGTGCTCATTTCGGGAACCGCCCACTATGCTAAGTTCGCGGACAGAGTTCTTCCTTTCATAGGACAGATGACTTCATCAGACGATCTCTCCGTGTCAGAACTTATTGGGAACTCACTTGATTTGAAAGCGAGGCCTGCAATGCATCGAGACTTGGAGAACATGACAAGAAAACCTGTTGTCCACAAAGAGACGTGTTCAGCTGATTATGAGAATGTGAAAAGACACGTGAGGAATTTTGTTGAGAAATTGAACAGCTAGACAGTTATTTAGACGTTGCTTATCCAGGATGTGTTGTACAATGTTACAGTCTACTTGTCTGACCATCCGGTCCATTTTGTTGTCCTCTTGACCAGCATAGATTGCTGGTGATCTGTTCCAAACAGGAGTCCTCACGGGAATTTGGTTTGTTTGTTTGTTTGTTGTTTAACGCCGCACTCAGCAATATTACAGCTATATGACGGCGGTCTGTAAATAATTGAGTCTGAACCAGACAATCCAGTGATTGACAGCATGAGCATCGATCCACGCAATTGGAATCGATGACATGCATCAACCAAGTCAGGGAGCCTGACCACCCGATCCCGTTAGTCGCCTTTTGCGACAAGCATAGTCGCCTTTTACGGCAAGTATGGGTTGCTGAAGACCTATTCTACCCCGGAATCTTCACGGGTCGAGTATGGTTGGTCAGTGAGTTTGTATTGTAAGACGAATTCCAAATGACATTCAGGCTATGAGAGTAGGATAGCTGGACGCATGGAAACAATAGCGGGTTGAACCACTTACACATGGCATACACCACTTGTACCTACAAACGCAGGCATCTTGTTGGCTGTTACTAGAATCTAAAATATTTGGTCCAAATTACCGATGGTTATGAATAGAACTTAACACAAAAGCATCGCTCTCGACCAACTGGACAAAAAATACACTTACCGTAACCACAGCTAAACAGTGAGTGAGTGAGTGAGTGAGTGTGTGTGTGTGTGTGTGTGTGTGTGTGTGGGGGGGGGGGGGGGGGGGGGGGGTCAGTGTGAGTGAGTGAGTGAGCTAGTGAGCTAGTGTGTGAGTTTTAAGTAAGTGCAATGCTAAAACACGGAGTATAAAAACGGAAAAGCGTTTAATGCTAAGCCATAATTACCAAAGACTGCAACATTCCCTTTTTGTCTTAAATATATGTTCATCACCTTCTATTTTACGAGATGTTAAGGCAGCGTGTTGTAAGTGACAGTGTTGATGTGTGAATGGATATATAGAGATTACTACACGAGTGTCTGTCAGATACCATTGATCTTACAACGAGTTGTTTCAAAACGTATCTAACGAGCGAAAGCGACATGGAGTAGCCAATCACGGGCCTGGAATTCGATCTCACACATGTTTGATACCAGTTATCTCAAATGGGTTTCTCACACAGTGACAGGTGTGTAAGAAATCTACATCAGTGTGAAATTAAATCATTTACCGACAACAACTGTTTGGACAATAATAATTTATTTTCAAGTATTTGAAGTATCTGTTATTTTCAAAACATAGACCTAGCTCCAGCTCATTAACATAACCGCGTTATCCATAAAATACCATGTGCATCTTGATCTATATGTACTTCCTACTTTTCCACTCAATGTCGGACCGCCTCCGTGTTCTTGTGGTAGAGCGTCCGCCCGCAGAGCGGAAGGTCCGGGGTTCGATCCCCGGCCGCGTCATACAAATAGACGTTAAAAGGTGGTACTTGTTGTTACCCTGTCTGGCGCTCGGCGTTAAGGAGCTAAAACAAGGACTGGTCGGTTCGGTGTCAGTATACTGTGTCTGAGTGGGGTATTCATGTTAAACTGCGGCATGGTATCTCAGTGAGCTAGCCTATAAATCGGCATCAGTCCGAACTAGTACAAGCAGCCACACAAACACACACACGTACATGCACGTCGCTATATAAGTGCAATAATCTTGGACGCGACGTTAAACCCTATTTCACGTCACCTCCAATCAATGTCATTGAATACAAGAGCTCGATCATAACTAAATGGTAAACCTTTTTAGGGATAAAATTAGCTGGTGATATTGACCATTCTCAGTTTTTTTTACTGATTTTACATCGACTGTACCGAACATATCTTAGTTTAAATACCCGGAACATCACGATTTATTGGTGTTATTACATGATGATTTCGATCTATGTTTAAGTGACCGACCATTCAATATTCTGGGTGTGGTGGTGGGTGGTCGGCCTGGAATGGTTTTATTATGTAAACAAATTGTCCTAGAACGTGTTTGAAAAAACAAAATATGTTTGACTTTGACCAAAAAAGAGATATTTGCTGCCACCAATAATCAATCGTTGCAATTTTTTTTTTATGTTGGCACATAGTTCTAATTTGAAAAATATATCTGGTTTTGCAGCTGTAGCCGAATAAATATCCAGTCACCATAAAAAAAATCCAAGCCCCTCCCCCTCCCCTTCCAAACCCCCGAATAAAAACGCTACTGAATTACAATAATTTCTATGGTGACCCCATGTCTTAATATAAATCAGAATTAGGCTCATCGCTTTTCGCATCCGTCTGAGAAACTGAAAACAAAGTGTATTTGTTCAGTTGCCCACACTAATCGCGTCTTGGCTTCAGGGTTAAATAATGACAGGTGGGATACAGATTTAGCAGATGTATCTAATATCACTGCAGACAATGATGGGGTTAAATATTTACTCATTGTTATTAACATTTTACTCGGTATTTGTGGGTTGAACCATTGAAAAATAAAACCCCTGATACTGTCATCAAAGCTTTGAAAATGATATTTCTTCAGGCAGATTTACCTAATATTAATCGATCAGATAAAGGCGTCATCCTCGATTGATCAGTGTGTCATATTTTATTCTGTTATAAAAAAAGAAACTTTGACTTGACTTGTTATGAAATGTACCCAGAATCCATTCGCAACCACAGCTTCCGTTTCTGAAATGACGCCATCATCTTAATCGCTCTCAACACTATCACAAGCCATCGTTATCTTTAATCTAATCAGAAGACATTTTAGATACTAGCGACAAAACCCTTCCCATACTTATAAGAACTATCTGCTAAAATAGGTGTTCGCAAAATGACGAGCTTATCCTGCAAAACCGGTGGCAACTATCACAACCACAAGCAAAGGCAAGTCAATTTTTCACATGAAAAAAACCGGGAACATATGGTACAAAACCTTAAACCTTTAGCTCGAAAAGTTGTTCCATGATTATTGGACAGTGGGATGGTAGTCCTTATTCTTCAAGGCATTCCCAGTTGTATTTGAGAAGGTACCAACATTGTGAGCCGAGTACTGTTTTTAACTCGGCTTGTTTATAATTAATCACGGACGAACAGTGCTATTTTGAGCGCTGTGTCACTTCAAACGGACTCAGATGGAAGCTATAATGGATCATAAGAACAGCTTATACGTCATTATACAGTCAAGTCTCGTTAATCCGACAATCGGCTTTATTCGACACTAATGATGGGAGCCCATTAAATCAGTGCTATTTAGACCCGTTAATCCGACAGTCTCGCACTCCGACTCCAACACACCTAATTTGCAACGAATGACCGAAATCACTCATTAATCAGTCTCGTTAATCCGACACGGTGATCAGCGTACTCCGTGGTCATCTGCCCTCGAGCACACAGCCCCGTGTTGTGATGCGAGACGAGTCGGCTGATGCTGTAACAGCCTCTGTAATAATATATTTGCTACATATTGTAACTGTACACCATGTACCGCTTTAAGCGGTCTTATTGGAATAAAAGATGATGAACAGATGATAGCTTCATAGTACAACGGCTACGGAGATAAACTTGCTTATCAATAAACAATTAATGCCTTTAATAATCCAAACAGGATTAATCACATGCTTAGATTACCTCAATATCAATAAAATCACATACAAGTTCTTGGTACCGCTGAAGACATCCCATAACAGGTCACGTCAGCACGACCTTTCGCGAACTTTGACCGACCAATGAAATGACTAACAGGAAGTCGACATTAGCCACTAAGAAGGCAGCTTTCTTGAGCTTTGGAGAATGGAGATATGATACAGAGGACAACCAAGGGTACAAAGTCAATGAATATGTTTGGCTTATCGTAAGATCAACCAATATATTTCATACTGAAACACAATGAAAATGCATACTCAATTTTATTGAAATCAGATAAGAATATTTTGTGCTCAAGTCCGCCTCCCAACACTTCGAATGAGATTCGAACCCGTGCTACGACATTGCTGTTTGACTATCTCATGCCTAAATACCAAGAACAACTTACTTTCAGAAATTACAAAAACTCGAATACCTGTTTCTAAAGTGTCTCTGTGTATAAGTAATATTAACGTCAGCGTATCATGACTATCGCGGTATACCCTGTCAATTTACACTGGTTCTGTATTTTTACGGGGCGGTCGGGTAGGCTGGTGGTTAAAGCGTTCGCTCGTCACGATGAAAACCCGGGTTCGATTCCCGACATGGGTACAATGTGTGAAGCCCATTTCTGGTGTCTCCCGCCGTGATATTGCTGGAATATTGCTAAAATCAAACTCACACACTCACTCACTGTATTTTTACAATGTTTATTTCTTATGTAAGATATCAACATTATGTACAGCCTCTTAAAATGTACAAGCTTTGGCAATATTTACCTGTATTTAAATAATGATGACTCCCTCAATAGAATCCGACCTCGGCAATGTCGGACAGTCGATTTTAGGCACATGGGTATTTCCCACCTATTCTCACAATCCTCACATCGATTACCTGTACCTTTTCCAATACCGATTGTCATATCTCTCCTGCTTTGGGATGCGATCGTTCAGCCTTCGCGTTTATCTGCGTTGCCAGGCTGCATCTTAGGGGAACAACTCACTAGACACTCCCCTCTCAAAAATAACGTTGTCTAATATACGACGTCTTGAAGATGCGTGCGCATGTTTGAAGCTCCAGAAAGAACGGGCATGATAGAGTGAGTGAGTATAGTTTTACGCCGCTTTTAGCAATATTCCAGCAATATCAGGGCAGGGGACACCAGAAATGGGCTTCACACATTGTACCCATGTCGGGAATCGAACCCGGGTCTTTGGCGTGACGAGCGAACGCTTTAACCACTAGGCTACCAGACCGCCCCGGCATGATAGAGCAGTGTTTTATCGTGAAAAAAACCACACTTCGTTCTTCATTGTTCTTTGCGATTTATCGCGTAGCTATCGCATATTATTGTGTAGAACATATCGATTACCGTTTGTGATTATACTATTTATTATGTCTGTTTTGATCTACTGGAGAGTCAGTGTAAACTCCTGTTGATTGACCGTGATGAATAATAAACAATGCTGGTTAAAACTTCATTAATGACTACATAACAAAAAGCCCTAATA